TCTATATCATTTGGTCTCTTGTGGAGAGTTTTCTCATTGACAATCATATCACATCTTCTTATTGTTATACTATAAATACCCTGTTCTTTTAAGTATCAACGTTTACCTTGTTGCAGTTAAACTCAGAGGTTTGCGAGGCATGAACTTCAAAAATGTGTAAACGAACAACCTGATCTGGTATTGTAGTATTATAGCAGATGTCTTTTCAATTGTGCAATACCGCAACAAAATGCACACATACATGGCTATGCATTGTGTCACGAAAGTTGTACGACTGGCATTGTCTCTACTCCCAATCAACGTCTGGTTTAAAATCACAAAGAGCCGTTGCAATTTTGGCAAAAATATGGGTTATGATATTCGAAAAATGTTCACAATCAATCAGTAAAATGTTAGCTTGATAAAAATTAAGCTATGTCTACAAAAAACCTTACACATGACGTACTTATATTGACAAAAGGCGTTTACGAACTCTAACTTTTAATGATAGAGATTTGTGAAGCCGTACATATCCTTTCCTAGTGATTTTATTTCAAGATCACTGCTAGTAGCTAGCTGTACGGACTTTCATTGACAAATCAGATTAACTATTGTTTTATGCTTTTTAAGCGGCGCGGAAAAAATGTCCCTAAAAAGGGACAGACATAGATAGCATACCATTTATCATAGCTGCACTTTTTCAATTTCTGCACACATAGTGTGGACATTCCTCAACGTCTTTTCACCTAAATCATTAGGTATTACGAAAAGAATAGTTTTCTTACTGTTAGTAGATATGGAAAATATAGCGAAAAACTTTATCCATCAATATTGTCATACGAAACACTTAAATGTAGTTTTCCGAACTTCAAGCGTTTTGATTTAGGGCTTTACAGATCTTTTAAATACGTTCTATCCTAATTTATACATACATAACTAATGTGATCCTGGCACGGTAAACACATAATTTGCCTCTATCTCCCCTTAACGTACTTGGAATGGGCATTTTTCATTGTTGAAGGCCGTACGGTTGCCTATAATTGCTTACATCCACTTTATTTGAACTTTGGTGGATGGTTGTCTCATTGGCAATCATAGTTACCATATCTCCTTATTTCTATATTTGAAGCATGTACATGTACAATTGAAATCGAACGTTTTCCTAAAATGACCTCAAAAAGTGAAGAAAAAAAATAATACTAATGTCGCTATGTCCGCTATGGTACATGTTTGCAAGGTAAGCGCTTCAAGCTCCTTTGAATTTTTTTTTTATTAAGCAGTTGTTTTAAAGACAAAATATACCTCATGTATATCGAAACAATGTTATTGTGTGTTTTCGAAGCACTACCAGGTATAATTATGTATGTTGTATAATTAGTAATTGCCGCAATATTGGTTTCAATATTATGCCTATGGATTATCTACAAATGTCAATCGTTTTATTTGATGATTTTTGTTTTCGTTCCAAAACTATATTTTTTGTAATGAATGTATTGAAACTTACTATTTTTCAATGACCTTTCGATATAAATAAAAGGAGATGTAGGCAATACATTAATAAGAAGGCAACCAAACGACAAAAAAAACTAAAAGACATATAGTGGACAACAACAGGTGTCTATTTCAAAATTGTCTATAAAAAGTTATTATACCAATTTGAAACTATTTAAGATCTGCCATTGTTATTCTGAGTCATTTATTTAGTAATATCAGACTAACAAAACACAGTGATGCTGACAATTGTATAAAACTGAATCAAGCACAAAATCGATCGTGGGTAATAACAAAATAAAACTTTGTATACCATTTTTGAACGCGTGTAAATTTTTATATCTTTAAAATCATTAGACGTAGTTAACAGAAAATAACAATAAATAATGATCTCTATTTTAAGTTAGGGAAACTGTTGTGGTTGCCTATTACTTATCAATATATACCAGCGCTTATTTGGACTACGTATACCTTAAGTTGCCATCTTAAGCATAGAACGTTTCTGAAAATCAGATTGAAGAATTAGCCAATAATGCACGTAAAATGACAGTACATGAGAGGACCGTTATAAGTAGACACATTTTATAAAATGTCATATTATTATACCTTTAAACCGTTCCTTTGTACACCACACTGTATGCGTTGCAAACGGAACTTCTAAGTTGTCCTGTAGCCAATGCAATATTGCCCATGATGAGAAGAGAGAATGTTTTAACAAGTTAAAGTTAGATATCTATGAATTTCCCATAGCAAAGTTTTTAAAAGGTATACTTTTAAATTGCAATATATTTTTTGGGCACATTAATTTCATCTTCCTAACTACAGCGATCTCCTTTTATTCAACAGGATTGACTTTGGTATAGAAATATTGACATCGCTCTGCATGTAGGTCAACAAAGAATACGACAATGTTTTTTTATGTAAGTTCTATGATCGATACCGACTGTATATTCAAATGACAATATTTAACCTGCAGAATGAGGCCTTGGAGATGCCATGTTCAGAATACAGAGAATGTTTGACCCACATGCAGTGAGGAATAACAGCCAAATCAGCAATTATTTTAGATAGCACAATGCGTTATGAAGACTAAAAATATTGCGGGCAAGGGTTGTCTTCAAATAGAACTTGGTTGAATGTGAATAATGCAATATAGAATTGAAGACTATGAGGATTTAATTTCTGTAGTGATTGTGCAGATTGGGTACAGTGTTTCTGTAGTAAATTATCAGATACCTCTGGTATCATGGCCCACGTGGAGAATCTCTTAGTTTGGCCAGCTGGCAATAGTTAGTTTTGACAGTGTGATATACCAGGGTTACCCCCTCCCACCCTATGCTGACAAAATCGTACGGGTCAAGGGCATGAGTGCTACGAGGCATTTAAAGGCAATGCCTACCTCTACCTCTGGTATCATGGTCCACGTGTGGAATCTCTTAGTTTGGCCAGCCGACAATAGTTAATTTTGACTGTGTGATTGACCAGGGCAATCCCCCCACCCTATGCTGACAAAATCGTACGGGTCAATGGCATAAGTGCTATGAGCCATTTTAAAGGCAACGCCTACCTCTACCTCTGGTATCATGGCCCACGCGGAGAATCTCTTAGTCTGGCCCGCTGGCAATAGTTAATTTTGACTGTGTGATATACAAGGGTAATCCCCCATCCTATCCTATGCTGACAAAATCGTATAGGTCTAGGGCATAAGTGCTATGGGCCATTGTAAAGGCAATGCCTACCTCTACCTTTACAGCTTTCTGACCAAACATGACTATTACCTTGTTAACGAGGCGTCACAGAGGATACATGTATCTCCTGAAAAGAATAAAACTGCAGATACTGGTACATAATTTGAAATTATAACAAGCTAAACTAAGTGATTGAACAAAATTGTTAACGAAGGCGAACAGAGGTGTAAAAAGGTATCATCTCAAGCATGAAATTAATAACATATCATCAATATGTACGATGTTACATGTATGTGTTAAAAAAAGGCCCCAATACATGCATGTGCCCAGCAACATAATCGTCTTAAGACTTTGACAGATGCAAAACAGATCAACTTACTCTAGTATTTCATCAAAAGATCAAGATATTGATTCATGTTACCCAAATACATATATTGTTTTTAAAAAAAAAATCAGTTAACATGTAAATTCAGAACAAAAAAAAATGTTCAAATCGGTTCAAAAACTAAATAAATTTCTTCGAGAAAAGTTAATACTTACAAACAAGCTGAAACTAACTATCTGCTAATTTGGAATTCGCGTTAAAATTATTATGCAAGAAGAAACCTTTAAAAAAACTATTGTGTTCTAAGGCGTATTGTCTTATGCACAAATCTTGATGTTGATATCGAAACTCGTAATAATTCACTTTAACATATGCATTTGCAGATTTCGTATTTTGGCACTTGTTCACAAATGGCGTTATAAGATATTTAGCAAAGGCATTAATCTACTCGTTTTCGTGTCTTATTTAAAACTCCAACTACTTATTAAAACAAAAACAGTTTTTGTACATTGGAATTGTGAATTGAATTCGACACAAACATGAAATGATGAGATAAATGTTACAACTATATAAAATGTTGCTTTTCTAAAGATATGATTATTATTTTTCCTTAATTCATTTCAAATATACTACCGGCTTGATAAGTTGAAAGTTTAGTTACAAACTAATGATAGTATAAACATAAATAACAAAGGGAACCCTATATTTAAATGTGAGGCTGTTTTTATGATTCGATTCATTTTATTAATGCCTTGAAAATCCAAAATTAGTATGACACATTATATATTTAGAAAACAGGAAAAGATTGAAGAGAGCAAACAAGAATTAAGGTGAACAAGTTTTTTCTGCTCAAATAATTTTGAATATCCAAATGGTTGGAAAAAAATACTTTTTTGAGACATGTATTCAAGGGTAAACTGTGTTCATTAATAAAATATGCTTACTATTTCAGTCATTATATTATATTCTTTACAAATCGTAACCTGCTTTTAAACTTGTACAGTTTACATTTTTTAAATTTTTTAATAGGACAAAGACAAACAATACATAATTTGAAAAACATTACAAATAATTTAATGTCATTTAAGTTAGAGTATTTCCTTATGTGAATAAGAATAACTAAACAGTATAAATGATTTACAGAAACATTATAATAGCACAAGAAATCTCAAAAAGTATGCTAATTTTCCTAACTTTTCTGGAAAATACAAACTTTTATAAAACATAAATTTCAGTTGTGGGTTCTGTATTTTAGCATTTATATATTTAACCTTTACATTCAGTGACTGGTCATATTAATTATCTCGTTTCATGAAATATATATCATAGTATACTCTGCAAATATCTATAGGACAGTTTGAGTAATAACTGTATGATTCTATTGTTTGCAGATGGACCATATTTATGAAAACACACGAAGTTCTTTTATTTTTCTTTGTTTTTTTAATAATTAATCCTACATCTTAATATCTACTGAACTACATTATAGATGTCGACAGAAAAATAAAGTTGACACATACATACAATCATTTATTCAAATGTAAACATTATTTAGTAAAATAACAAAAATACATGCCAAATTACAACACATACTATGATTGGAATATTTTATCTCTATATATAGTAAGATTTCAAACCTAGATTCGTTATTATAGATTACATTATCCATATTTTGTTTTGAAAACATTCAATTGACTTGAACAACACCTTTGGCCATCAAAGGACCTTTTTTGTCGTTGCAAAACAGGTATAATGCGGGCCACACAATATACTTTATTTTGGTTCCAGATTTTGTATATTCTTTGTAATGTTCTTTGTCCAATAATTTGCCTTCTAGTTTGACCGTCTCAAGATACATCGGAGGATCCTGTATGACAAGATTCCAACAAATAGCTATGCATTTATTGAAATATGAGGTTGCCAATAGAACATCAAACATATCAAGGTCAAGTTTAGGATAGCAATCATTCCTTTGCTGCAGAAAGACTGGATCATCTTTTAAAGTCTGAAATTGAAATTCCACTAAGTGTACATTTTCGTTTATATGCAATACTGCAATATAAAAGCCACACACATCAATATGAAACTTAGACATAATAAAGGGGATTGCCAACTGGGGTAACAAAAGTACTGGACAGCACAACAGACCAAACTTTACAGCAACACCTGACGCCTCCGAAAAGGCAATCGAAAACAAAGAAAAACATCAGAGAAATAAAAAAAAAAACATTCACAGTTAAGCTACTAATAGTGGGTTTCTAAGACGATGGTATAACTGATGTTTAAGTATTCATTTTACTAATTGCAAAACTATACATTTTCTTGATCTTTGATTGAATTAAATCAACAAATAAATCATACATTGGATTTCCATGTTCACCCGTGGATAGTTAATTAATAGTAGTTCTGTTTAACTTTTTTTAATTCTCTCATTTATTTTTATCTTTCGATATGTCGTTTTATCCTTAGACCATGGTCCTATATACATCCCTCGTCTTATGATTTTTCTATATCCGATTTCTTTATTCTTATTTGTTTTTATGAAATATAATGTTCCACCTTGCTTGATTGACTCACAGAAAACCATGATCATTTATTCTTTAAAAGGCACTCAGAATCTAAGTTATACAAAATCATTCATTGTAAAAACTGAAAATTTCATCTTTTCTTCTTGTGTAAAGACATCAAATATTAGATTCACAAACTTCAAAGAATCAATATACAAGTCGATAAGTTACTAGAACTTTCTAAGAATTGTCATGCCATTCTTGTATGACGGAAGCTTGCTTTTAAAATTGTAATAAGGTATATGCAAGCATCGTCGTCAATCAGATGTGAATTCATAATTATGTTAAGGATAATCTACTCCAAAATCTTCAATCACCATCTTTACAATTGTATATCAATATCGAAATTGATCTTTCCTCATTTACCACATATTCATTTTTTTCATGTTCAATTGAAACATCGACTACGTTTTCCAATTTTACATTTTGCATTAGCAGGGGGTATACTATTTATTAGTATGCGTGTGTTTTCAGTACTATAAATGTATAACTTATAGCTAGCCAAACCTCCTACTTGTATGACAGTTATTTATAGATCCGTTATATTGACATAATTGGGTAAGCAACCAAAACAGACATAATAGATTAATGTGACAATAATTGGGATCCAGCAACAGAAACTATTTAAACATGCATAACAGATATACAACACAACTAACTAAAACATTCAAACAAACATACAAATTAATCTCACAAACACGTCAGCAAAAAAGGGGTAGCAGATAGTAATAAAATCTTCATAGATGCCGGGATTAAAATTTTGTACGCCAGAGGCTAGTTTCGCCTACATAAGACGTAAATTTGACAATGACAAAAACAATTTGTTTGTCGTTGATAGTACATATATATATTGTCATTTAGATCAGACGTCATTAAAGAAAATATCTTATTTAAATGAGTCTGTGAAACGTCGAAGTTAAGACACGATCCCTGTAGACATGTTCAAGTCCAAACGGTAATGACCTTTCTAAAAAGGGGTTAACAAATAGACTTTAATCGAGAGGGTTCTTACGTCAATAAAGATGCTATTCCATCCTACATTACTATGTTGTAAATAGGCGAACAAAAGAACACTGGACTTGAATAAATGTAAGAAAATTGTGAAAAATAATTTTGTGATTTATAAATGATTTATGATACGACCATATCAAGGATTAGATTCAAGTTTTCGCAACATCTGAGTTAGTACCGGCCGAAAGGGCAGCCAAAAATGGGGTTTTGGAATGATGTGATTGCCGCTCGAACGTTCATTAGAATGTATCTGTGTATTTATCTACATCCAAGTCTTCTGCACTAAACAGAGAGCCAAATGGTAGACAATAAAAGCATTATCACATCTCAGCTTACGTTTTTTCTGAACATTTGAGAGTCCCAACTATGTATTGACTATCTAATTTACTCACAAAACTGTCGAATATCGTTTCATCTCGGCTTCTTGTAAGAATTTGACAAGTGATGTTTCTGAAAACTTAACCAGTTTCATCACTACAGTTCAAGATTTCTTTTAATAAAACATAATGATTTTGTTTTTCGGACATTAAAATATCATCCAGCAGGGATATAAGGAAAAACACAGACATTGACAGCACAAAAACTTAACTGTGACCACCAAAATTTCGTTCAACGATTCGCTGTTTCTGTGAATCACCCCATAGAATTATTTCCTTGTGGTTCTAGATTTTAAGAAACCAAATAATAGGATGATCATTAATTTTACCGATTCAGTTCCTTTTTCTATCGTAACATTTTGAATGGTAGTTTTTTCGCATTACTGGTGTGATGGTGTGTGCATTAAATAAAACGCCTACGCTGTCGGCTTACCCAGTCTTGCTCTATTTTGGAGTTCATGAAATACTTTCTGGTTTTTACCTTTTTTTCATTACAACATTGATTTATAATACAATATATCCGTAAATTGTTTTCCACTTACTTCACAATATAGCCCACCAACGATTCTGTAGCATTTATTTTCCCAATTATCATTTTTATATTCATACCCTTGAGATCCCTCAAAAAACATGTTCCCAACAGAAGGTGTTATTCGTTAAAGAAAGATTATTTTACAGCTCTTAACTAAATGTATAAGATAGTCAAAAGGACGATTGTCCTTATGAATGTTCGATACTTTCTTAATTCCTACTTCACTTCATTTTTCAAAATATTATATTACAAAGTACATAGATTACTCGAAATCAAACTTGTATTGATGAGTAAGACATTTAATGAAAACATTTCTTTCAAGTAATCAGTGGGATTTCAGTTGTCTCATATATGGTCTAATGTCTTAAATTTTCGATAAATGATCATTGTTTGTACTATTCATAATCACTCATGGACCATATAACACGGATCAATCTTTATATCATTGAATTATTACAAATAGTATAATCTAATTAGACATGTATAGTCAATTTTCAGTTGTTGACTCCAGGGGAGACCTATGCCATGAATACCTAATGAAATAGATAATTATAAGATAACATTAAAATGCCCGTATGATACAGCTTTAATATGAAAATGTCTCCCTTTACTCTTGCGACATAAACAATAAGCACATCTTTTATTTTAATGATTTTTTATGATAATGGTTACTACTGGTAGTTGCAATTGTTAAAATTATACAGTAATTAATTTTGTGTGAACAATAAATACCTCCTGAAGTTGCTTTATAACACCCATAGCGGTAAGTTTTCTGCCTTCAATTATTTTCTTTCTTTCGGACGGATAATTAAGCCACCAGCCTTTGATCTGAACAATGATAAAGTATAAACTGGGATATTTGAATATTGCAATCTTAAGTTTGACTTATAAATAATAAAAATAAACATTCATTTTAGCGGTAATTTGTATAAAGAAATATTGAATGTTATTTTTGTACATATTTTAAACCAGATGGTTTTCTTTTGTGTCATATGGTGTTGTCTGGGGTTTTTTTTTTTTTTTTGGTATTATGATTTTTAGCATTTTCTCTCTTTTTAAATTAGAGGGTAAAACATATTGTTTACTACTACGATTTTCTAATAAAACCCCAAACCATGAATAGGAAGCAGGACATTCGCTGGTACTTCATCGCATAAAATATGAAGACAATAGTGCAAAAGACAATCATAGATTACTTGTCTTTTTTAAGACAAAATGGTATGAAGTTTGTCGTATAATACAGAAACAAATTAAAAGTCGTCATTTTAATTCAGTTAACCTTTTCTGTGTGGCGTTATTTGAAGTTTTGGGTCGTAAGCAAAACATGGCGGGTGATTATGTCGAATATGAACATTGTGGAATTCCTGATTTCTCCACTAGTTTTGTTTAAAGGTGTTTGTCTTGCTCTGCATTTATTTTTACTGTTGTGTCTTATCTTATTGTACAGGTTCTGTATTGTTACTACTCGTAGTATTCTATATACCATATCATGCATGTGACTGTCGTAAGCCAGGAGCATGTAGTCTAGAGGTTGTCGTCTGTTGCTACTTGTTATTGTTTTTATGTTTGATGATATTATATCAAACCAGGCTGTTGTTTTTATACTTGTTTAATTGTTTCACATTTTTTTTATTTTAGGCTTTTTTCGCTTCCTACACGTTATTGATTTTTGTACTTAAGCCTTTTGCGCTTCCTACACGTTATTGATTTTTTTTTCATTATTGAAGGTCGGATGTTGACTCGTAGCTGTTCGCAATGATGTGCCTTTAGTGTATTTGGGAAAAGTTGGATCATTGAAAATTATTTCAAACATACACATACTTGTCGTTATAATAACTATGTTGGAAATTTGTGGTCAGTGTCACAAAATTTTTTTTTGAACAATTCAAATTCCGAAATCTACTATAGTGGATAGCATATACATTCTATGAAAACAAATTGTTATCCGATAATTTTATATAAATTCGTTGTTTCTTCCAGTTTTTCCAACTTAAATTAATAATTAATACTATTTGAAAACATAGAAAATAGAAGTAAGAATTAAGATCACTTGGAATGATAATTCAGATATAGGTAACAGTAGAATAAAGAAGCAGTAACAAAGCCCATACTAGTTACAATTGAATCAAAAACAGTCCGTTGGCAAAAGCAAGTACACAACTGCATTATGTTGCACCAAATCTAGTTAACTGATTGCCCTTGAAAATGAATTTGAATTTTAAGGACTAAAAGTACAATAGTTATGTTGATCATTCTTTCAAATATGGAAAATTGGTAAGTAATCCATAAAGAGACTGGTTACAGTTTTGTATTTAGAAAAATTCAGTTAAAAGTACATGTAATCTGCTTGTAGAAGATTTTCCCCCCCAATTAAGTTATAGATAATTCAAATTTTAAGGTTTTGCTTGTCGTATAACACACCTCGGGGGGTTAGTCTTTCGTTTGATCAATCCTGACACCCCTCGGTGTGTTATAAGACAAGCAAGAAAAACCTTAAAATATGCATTATCTGATTTGCATCATATTTTACCGACCAAACTAAAGTGGGATATTTTTTTCTGATGCGTTCAGGTTTTATTACGCCCTACGGCTCATTTATAATGTGAAATAAAACTCACTAATAAATCTTGATATACACTTGAAATCATGGCATTATCAAGTTATAATAAAAAATATTACGGTAACTGCATGAAGCAAGACACAAATAATGCATTGTTACGGTGTATGAAAAATACAAGTCAGTTTGTAAGTAATTTATTGTATCATCTTAGTTTATGAAAGGGGGATGCTATGTTTTATCCTTTTTTTTTGTGACATTTTTATCGCGGAAAAGTAGATTTTTAACGAAGTATTTAGAATAATTGTTTTCTCTGTTTTGTCTGGCAACACAATTCTTTTTTAATCTGAGAATCTGGATTAAATATTATACTGCCCCTCCCCACCCCATTATCAAAGTTCGTGGCTGTTATTCTATGGAAAATAAGAATATTTGGTCATTTGATCATTTGATAGAGTATAGGTATATATAGATGTAAAAAGTTAAGAACTGTCACGAAGAGAGCACGAAATCGTTATACATGTACATGTAACTAGAAGAAGAATATCCATAGGTCATAGTATGGTTTTCAACACATGAATCAAAAAGATTTGAAAAATCCTACGCACGAATGTGTTAAATCTGGCTTGTTTTAAAAGTGCTATGAAAAGTTTTGCATTATTAAATTCATCTCATATAATATCCCTTTGTTGTAGCGATAAATTAACAACACTTCACATTATTTATTTCGAAAGTTAAAATGTGCGTCAACGACGATGTTTGATATTTCAGTCTAACAAAAACGGGGAAAGGATTGTTTCTGCCTTAAACCTATCAAAGATGGAAAATTAAAAAGTAAAACCCCAATTAGCAACAACACACGATAACTATCAAACGAATTAAATGTTACAGTAAATTTTAATCCGGGAATTAATGACCTTACACAGGTCATTATTTTATGCCTTGAATTAAATTTCATTGAAACTTGGTATCGTCCAGGTTGATTCTTCAAAAGAAAGACCTATCGTTCTGAAAGAAAACAACTCCATATAGGTGTATAATCTATGTGAAAATATATTTCTCTTGTCTAATAAATTAGATTTAGTATAATTTATTTCTTATTAACATATATGTTACACTGTCTTTATTTCAATCAGAATGTTCGAGCCTGCGACTTTTGTTCATACAATCCTGGATTTTTACCAAACTTTGGCAAAAGCTTGTCTATGATTAGAAGATAGTATCCAGAGCAAAACTTTTTCCATATTTTACTGATACAGGGACTTAGTTTTTTTTACAGTTAACATTTAAATACAGTCTAAGGTTAAAGTTTTTCGATCATCAATAACATTGTCAAACCAAACATGTATGGAAATTTATGAAATTTGGACAAAAGCTTTTTTATGACCAAAAGACAGTATCCAAAGCTAAATTTTGAAGAAAAAAAAATTTCATTTGTCTGTATTTTCCTGATAAAGGACTTATGTTTTTGCAGTTAACAAGTAGATGCAGTCTGGGATTATCATTTTACTGATAAAGGACTTATGTTTTTTGCAGTTAACAAATAGATGCAGTCTGGGGTTAAGGTTTGTTACACATCAATTTACCAAACCTTCATAGAATTTTATGAAACTTTGGCAGAACCTTTTCTATGATAAAAAGATAATGTCTGAAACTAAATTTCGAAAATATATATTATTTTTTACACAAAAATGAACTTGTTTTTTTGCAGTTATCACTTACAGACAGTCTTGGATGAAATGCTTTTGACATAATAAATGTTTAAACCTTCATGGATTTTTATGAAACTTGGACAAGAGCTTATGTTCAAGATCAAGAAATAGCATCTAGAGAAAAAGTTTGATTTTGTTTTAAATTCTTTATATAACTGATAAATTGATTCACTTTTTACAGTCGACATTACACTCTTACACTGACAGCAGCAATCGCAGGTGAGAAAAAAAAAAATAAAATAACAAAATACCGAACTCCAAGGAAAATTCAAAACGGAAAGTCCTTTATTAAATGGCAAAATCAAAAGCTCAAACACATCAAACGAATGAAAAACAACTGTCATATTCCTGATTTGGCACAGGCATTTCCTTATGTAGAAAATGTTGGATTAAATCAGGTTTGATAGCTAGCTAAGCCTCTCACTTGTATGAAAGTTGCCAATAAATACTGAAGAAACTTTATGGTTAGTGACAGAATTCCTAAAATCAAATAATTTCTTTATATGCACTGTTTATAGAAAAAAGTAAGATACCAAAAATACCGAACTCCAAGGGAAATTCAAAACGGAAAGTCCTTTATAAAATGGCAAAACCAAAAGCCCAAACACATTAGACGAATGGAAAACAACTGTCATATATCTGACTTGGTACAGGTATTTCCTTATGTAGAAAATGGTGGATTAAACCTGGTTATATAGCTAGCTAAACCTCTCACTTGTATGACAGTCGCATAAAATTCCATTATATTGACAACAGTGTGTGAACAAAACAAACATACATAATAGGTAAAAATGTCAAAAATAGGGGTACAGCAGTCAACATTTTGTTATAATCTTAATCACTATAAAAACAAACAAATATGCCAACAAAGAAAAACCAAAATGACATATAAACAAAGCACATAGCCAAAAATGAAAGACAAGAATACAAAAAATGACTATAGCACAATAACACAATGGCGGCATGTATAAGTACCGAGTCACGCCAAAAGGATATTACCAAAAATGGACTAAACAGAAAAGGTTAATAATTTGAAAAGACAATTAAAAAAACACCATAACACGTAATTAAGATGATAAACAACGTTTACCTAGAAATACCTAGAATCTATACTTTAGGACCATCATGTATTTTTTATGAAGTTGATACGGAATATTTATCAACAAGGTTTTGGTATCTTCCGATGAACTGTTTTAGAAAAAAAGGACGAGTCGTTCTTTGAGACACATTATTCCGCGGGACCCTTTACAAATGTTTTGTGATAACTATTTCCTATATTTTCATGTGAAAATGCCTGTACCAAGTCAGTTGTTTTTTTACTTGTTCCGTTGATTCTTTACGTCTGATTTTGTCAGTTTTTATGGACTTTCCCCTTTTAGAATTTACCTTTGAGTTCGTTATTTTTGTTACACATTTTTTCACATGGATTTTTAATTCATCAAATAACCTACTTTTGTAAAACAAAAGTGCCTTGTCGATTGGTCTTTGGTGTATAGTTGTCTCATTGACAAGGTTACCAGTATCCTTTTTGTTTTAATAAAGTGTGATCTCGAGCACCAATGAGGAGACAGACATGGTAGAAATTGTAGAAATGCACAATACTTAGTATTGGTAATGCAATACATAAAAAAAGGTCTGCGGGTAATTGACTACTATATAAATTACCTGGTCTAAAGAGGGACTATTTAATAGAAAATAATGTTCTGTTATTCCTTGCAGCTGTACGTCTGCTTTAAGCTTACATGTCTGGTAAATCACCTGCAAAGAATAAAGATAAACTATGAAATAGTGAGATACAACAAAATGCAAACAGAACAAAAAACATCTTTATTGTACTTTCTTTGCAGATATAACAAATTGCTCAATCTACAGCAGTTAGCCGAGTTATCGTACTTACAAAAAGATATGAAATATACCAAAGGGACATTCAATTCAACGAATAACATAGAAATTCACCAACGAATTCACATAAGTAGACGTAGCTAGTTTTACAAATCAATAATACAAAATAAAGTAACATGATAACGATAATTGTACAGTTTTGACCGCTTTTGTTTCTAAGCACTTGGTATGATCATTGATCTCAATTTGTTAAAGAACCGTTATTATGTTATCCTATTGAAAGTCTCATATTGACTGCGAACCTCTGAAATTTGAACTGAATACGTCTGTGTCTTTTTTCGACATCTTATTTCATTTTCGGTATTCTAACTTTTTTCAAAAATATGTTAACTCTAAGTGTATCAATTAAGGCCAATAACAACTCAATCCAGTCGTGATTATAGTTGAAATACAACATAATTTGCAAATCTCCTAATATATGAATGAAGAAAAATCAAACTGTTTTCTTTGAAGCGTCTGTCTGGATGGCAATAATGCCAGATCATCTTACTTGTGCAATTTGAATTTGTCCAGTCTTTCTAGTGAAACTTACCTATTTCCTAAATTAAATTAAACTTGTGCAAATAACGCAATGATCTTCAAAAAACAACGGCCCATAAAAAATGATTTGTAATTTGCAATTTAACAGTTGTGTTAAAGAAAGCTTATTTGAACTTGAAGATGATTGTATAAGATAAGATATTGTATTAGTATAAAATCCAAATAATCGGATTGCTACCAAATTACAAACACAGATTACAATAAACAATACAAATATGTAACATTTACAAAAAATATTAAAAAGTTAGACGACATACCTCACCTTTAAATTAGCATAATATATTTAGAAGAAATGCTGCTTAACTCTATTTTATTAATTCATATATTAGATTATAGTTGAGAAAAAAGGTATACACCTAACATTAAAAGTTCATACACAATTGCTAACATTGTTTCTGTAATTATACATCTCACTTATATTAACAATAATTATCAAAATGTATATGATGCACAAGTTGTCAATGTAAGCTTACGAGAATGTAGGTGTTTGGGTCATAAAATCAAATTTAAAAGAGGAACCAATTTTATTGAAACTGATAACATATATTTTTTGTTTATCAATCAATGATATCAAATGAGTAAGGTTAACAAATAATAACCCCGAAAATACCTATTTCTAGCTTCCTGGTAATAGTAGAGGTAGATGACGCAGACTTTGATAATGAATTTAGAGACATTTTATTTGAAGAAAAAAATGAAATATTGAGATGAAACATTAGTTTTATGCAAATATAGTTAATAAATTATTTGTAAATTTAGATGACTTTTTAGAGTAGACGCCTTTACGAAACGTTGGTGACATAACGATATATATATCATTTTAAAATTTATAGTTGTTATACATTGTACATTGCTCCGTATATGTAACTCCTTTGTCAAAACACTACACCCTATCTTCACTCATACCTTAATTACACAATATAAATGATGAGCACATTTTTCCTTATTTTCTTCTGTGTTTGGTAGACTTTGTTCTAACATTTCCATCGCATCAGTCCAATCATTATCATAAATACTGCATAGTTGTTCAGCCAGTTTTGTAGGTCGTTTAGGGTCGTTTAAGTCGGTTATATTTGGATTATCATCAGATAACATTGCTCCTGCAAGACTGCTTAATCTTAAAATGTTAAAAAAAACAATATAAAAATGAAAAGTATACCCCATTTAAAGGAAAATTGCTGAAATTTGATGAAATTATTTACCTTTTCATGGATTTTAACGTTTTACGTCTTACGATTTATATCATATACTCAGTACGGTCATATGTAATGGTCCATGCATTGCACTAAACGTATATGCTGTCTTGGATTTCTTATCTGAAAAAGGACATGCCACTTACTCTCTCCGAACACGAATCGTGTGATCCAATTGGAGATTTAACCCAAGGCCTACCACAATTGTGGCATACACGCGTCCATGATGCCCTCATTGAAGATATGAACAAAAAAAATATATTATAACTATATAAATGATATATAAAAGAAAATATATATGAATATATGCAAAAAATCATCTTTTAACGACTAGTAATTTTGTATGATAGATAAGAAGTTTAAGTGTTAACTTTTACACCAAGTATCATCTCGAAATTATACTCGAAGGATATTCTTACGTAAATTATACAGACGACATCATGATTTTGTTAACTGTTATGGAATATCTGCTAACAGATGACTACGGATATGTTCCTGTTGTCGTAATTACCATTCTGTTCTCGATTGTGACATTACGGAAGCAAACTTTTACTGTATTTTTACTTGCATGGGCAACACGACGGGTGCCATATTTCAAGCAGTAATTACATACATTGTTAGTCTTGTATGTTTTTTTAATTTTAGTTCATTTATATTTTTTGGAGTTTAGTGTGACGACCATTTGCAGTGAACTAGTACACAATTTTATTTAGGGGCCAGCTGAGGACCACCTCCGGTTGCGGGATTTTCTCGCTGCGTTGAAGACCCATTGGTTGCCTTCGGCTGTTGTCTGCTCTTTGTCCCCATTTCCATTCTCAATTTTATCTACTCTTTTAGAGCACATGAGTTCATCCCGGTTTTTGGTGAATTTTGCGTTGATCCTTCTTTCCAATCTTAAGTTTTCAGTGAAATTTGTTGTTGTTATTTTATTATATTATTTGTTATATATTTGTCGTTTCGTCGTTATTCTTTTTGCCATGGTTTTTCTGTTTTTATTTGACTGATGGTTTTTTATTGACACCTTGTAGTCTTTTCACTTTTTTATCGAACTGAAACTGACTAATGTAAATGTTTACTCAAACTACAATGTATATAGCGAGCTGTAGCTCAAGCTTTAAGTAAGGGGTTGGATCTTTGTTCAATCTTAAAATAGTTTAGATATTTTACCTTTTATGTTTAACGGATCAAAAGTACCAAATATCAAATAAACGTTTACTTATTTTCAATATAAAAAATGAAACGTTTCTAAATTAAACTCATTTTGAAATTAAAGGTTTTGAATATTTCAGCAAAATATCAGAATTGGAAAAAGTGCAGATAGCGGATCGAACTTGCGATCTCCCACACACTCGACCAAGAACTCACAAAGAAATATAGCAATTCAAATGTTTTATTATTTGTACATGGTATAATCCTGAACAGTTTTGAAACCTACCTGGGAGTGGATATGAAACAGAATTAGTAACGTACTTTGAATCATTGTTGGAGATAATCATGGTACATGAACAATGTTTCAAAGTGCGCATGATTTTGTAGAATAATATAAATAAAAAGAAAACCGACAACCAAAATGAATTATTGGTTACTAAAAATAATACACCAGTGATACAAGTGGTAGATTTAGCTAGCTTTAAAACCAAGTTTAACTCACCATTTTCTTTGGAAAATGCATGTACTAAATCAGGAATATGACAGTTGTTTTCCATTCGTTCTGTTGATTGATAAAGTCGAGCGTTTGATTTTATCAGGTTTTATGGACTTTTCCGTATAAGAATTTACCTTGGAGCTCGGTATTTTTGTGAACACTTCTTTGGTAACATGTTAGAAAGATATGTTGATGAACTCAAAGAGCGCATGAAGCTCTGATACTGTGAATTTTAGCAAAGATTAAAAATTTATTTAAAAAATGTTCCTGTATGAAGAATTTACAGAAAAGGACCGTACTCTTCACCAAGTATCTGAATTGGTAATTTGTTAGACGGACAAAGATAAATTGCAATATATCCTTCTAACGTTTAAATCTTAACTATGTCCACAGTCGCTTTTGGTATGGATTTCAAGAATTCCTGCGTTGGTGTAATGCAGCCGTAGATAATCTCTTTGTTATATAATGTACAAAGGCTAAAGACATCTCATTAACTACCATAGACAAATTAAGCTACTTCAAACCAAAACTTAATCCTGATCAATAAACCACAAAATATGGGTCAATCCCTGATTTTGGCTTATACATGCATCGTTAAGTTCACACCATTATTCACATGTGTACATAGTTAGTCTGACCACAACTGAATGGTAATTACTCAAAAAGAGAACCCGTTACCTATGGGTCGTCATACGAACGGACAGACAGACACAAAGACCGGAAAACATGATACCTCTTATGTCGTTAATAAGGCTTAAAAATTAATAGTAAACAACAATTTCACATAAATGTATAAGCAAGTGTCAAACTGGCCCTGGCATTAAAATGTAATTCAATGTGTCGTCAATTTGCTGAAATAATTGTTGCATTTATCTAGAAAAGGGTTTATCTTTTTTGTTTCTTTTCTTGAAATGTACTCCAAACTTGGATTTTACATCGCCGAAATGACAATTAGATATATAAACTGGCAAAGTTACACAAAATTCTGATCGATTGATGCAAACATGCAAATAAATAGTTATAATTTCTATCTGCATACCGGCAAACTTAATCTTAAGAAGTAAAATAACAAAAATACCGAACTCCAAGGAAAATTCAAAACGGAAAGTCTTTTATCAAATGGTATTATTAAGCTGTATGTAAATTTATCCAAATTTTTCTGGAAAAATGCAGATTTATTTTAATCTGGCGAATACGTCTTATGACGTTAATTGGTTGACGTCAAAATCAAATGAAACACAAAACCTTAGCTATTATTTAATAAATTTTATAACCTTTTTAAAGAAGAACGAAATAATACACAACAGGTCTTATTTTATTTTAACGTCCGTTTGTTTTTCCAGACATCACAAATCATACAAGTAATTTAAAGTCAGGAATATGGCAGTTATTTTCCATTATTTCCGTTTGTTGATAAAGTCTCAGGTTTGATTTTTTCAGTTTTTATGGACTTCCCCCTTTTTGAATTAACCTTTAAGTTCGGTATTTTTGTTATACCTTTTTTCTTAATTTGCTTCAAGCAAATGCCAATGGTGGACCTCTGGATATTATATTCAAGTTAGATTGCATATAGGATAAAAGTTACACATCATGTACACTAGTTGGCTTTTCTCAAATAAAGTATGGTACGTTGACTTTACCAATAAGGGGTGTCGTAAAACATGATTAAACTAGTTAAAACTTACTTAGGCTATAACATACATGATGTATTCAATATAATTTCACTACCTGGAAAGGATTACTCACCTATTCAGGTAACTTTGCTTTTCTCTTTCCAAAAGTTGCATTTTACTTTTTTGGTCGATAGTATACTTTTCAACATAACTTATACTTTGCAAGAAGTCTTTTGGACAGATATCAGTGTTGTCCTTGTCCAAAGAAGACATTTCAGAATCACCCTTACAAACTTTTGCAAGCCTTTCTGCTTTTATAGTCATGACCTTTATCTGGAAATCAGCTACTCTAAAAAAAAAAAAAGCATTTTTTTATGTGATGAAGGTCTAAACTTGCACTTGACATCTATATGATACAATAGTTGTTATTCAAAGCGGTTAAATGTACAGACCAGGCTGCATATGCAAATATCGTTTCGTATACTGAAAATTTGCGTTTTTAAACATCACAATGTAAGAGTATTGGAATTTGAGACCTGACATTTGCGGTTTATTGATCTTTTAAGTATGCACATGCCAAATCAATAGATTGTTGTCAATTTTTCGTTACGTTGAGTATGTTGGTTAAATTAGGCAAAAAATCAACAAAAACTGGTTCCTCGTGAATATAAATAACATGCATTATGTATTATATAAACAAATTAAACTGGTAACGCACATAAGCTGTTTGAAATATATCATGAGTTTGGATATTTAAATGGTATTTGATATAACAAAATAAGGACACAGGAGACAGAAATTGATTTTTGCATGGTCTAATATATACGTCAGTAATCTATAGAGATATTCAAATGACTGTATATGGGTTCCATGTGCTGATTACCACAGTCTATTTGCAAATTTTGTAATTTATCGTGTAATGAAAGATTTTGTCAATTGTTTTCCTTAAAACAGAGGCGAAAGATACTAAAGGGACATTCTAACTCAAGAGGGACATACATTTTAAATGACAATGATGAGCTACCTGGCATACTAAATTTATCTCTGCGTAATGTGTGTGATCTTAAAGTTTTTTCCAAATCCTTTACTCACATTTATTCTGTTGTTAAACTGAATACTTTGATATCAATAGTTATTTGAAAAATGATTAAAACGTCTTTATGTATATCACTTTCAACGTATCCAGCGTTGCAAGGGCAGCAGCGCTTTTTGTACGGTATGTTTCTATAGTATACAATTCGCAAAGACAAAATGTCTCAAAAGTGTGTGATAACAGATTCTAATTAGGAATTGACAAATAGACTATCAGCGCATGAACCTCGGGTATAATAATAGGGGATAAGTAATACATAACTGCATAGCAACATTTGCATTTGTTTAGGAACACAAGAGCTAAACAAGATATTTTAATGCGCAATGTGATGATTGTTAACTGATTTCGTGTCATATATTTTATCTCATAAATACAGGTCTCGTCATATAGGAATAAAAAGTACGCAATTCAACTAGAATAAAAATTGATGTCATGACATGGTATCATAGCATAATTTCTAACATTAAATAACACAAATAAAAACGAGAAAAACAGGCATACTTCTTTCCTGTCTCTACTGAAGCCAGTTGTTTCCTAACATCCTTGAGGTCGAAATCGTCCATTTCATGCGTAAGTTCTCTAGTATCATGTTCTTTTTCAAAATGTCCACTTTTTCTGAAAAATTATTTTTTAATCATTTTATCTTAAATTAGAGTCAGCTATAGTTTATCGATATTCAAATCTCATACATCTATTAAGAAGATACAAATCAAGATAAAACAACTATAAACATGAATAGGAGCGAGACAGGGTGCATCGACAAGGTAAGAGTTTCCTGCTATGCATGCTTAAACATGTTAAACCTCGAGCAAATCCACACTCAGTCAAAATGTCACAATCAGGAATAGGAAAACAAATCGATAAATATACACATCAGCCTTGTTTGATTCTAAAGATCTAAGACTGCAAAAATATATCGCTAGGGAGTTGAGACACCACACACACACGACGTATCGGTCAACCACGCAACTTTTGTAATTTCGATTTTAGTCGTTGTTGCTTATAACTTTTTAGAACAGTTTTTCTGTCAAGAACAAACCCCTGTTAATGAAGTTTGTATAGTGTGAAGATGCACGAGCGTAATCTATAAATTTAGATATGTAAACGCCTTACGGTAGGACAAGGGTATGCTCCTGCCAGGAAATAGGAAGTTGACCATTGGAAAGTAGAAATCATCATGTTTGTGATAGACTTTAGTTTTAAGTTGTATACTGTGCTTAAGATCAAGATTTAATTCAGACCTTATAGTTTCGGTATTATCTGTTACACATACATTTTTCGTTATATACAATAATGGCTTCATAAAACATCCAAACTATATCAATGTCAGACAAATTATATGTTTTTTAGTGAGTCGTAAAAATGTATAACATCCAAACATAAGAAATTTGAACTCATCTACAAGCCCCCGAGAGACAGAAAAAGTATGGGAAGTCCCTATCTTTATATACATGTATACTATTACAGCTTAAATAGACATAAAAAAGCGAACGGAAGTGCACGAAAAAAAATAGAAAAGCGCTTCAGACGCATGAAATTAATAAAAGGTTACTTTCATTAAATGGCAATAATGACTTATTGACTATTTGCTTATTCTAAATAATTTAAAAGTAAGGAGATGAGGTATAATTGCCAATGAGACAACTATCCACCAAAGTTCAATAAGATAACCAAAACTTGAATTTAAAGAAATAGAAAATATGTAATGATAAAAAAACCATAACTGTAAAATATAAGGGTATACACTACACAGTTTTGCCGGAACAGGCTTGGGTCTTCTAAATTTAAAAGTTCTTGGAATTGATGTGATCTGTCACTGCATATACGTAAGCATCACTGGTGGTTAAATTCATTCAAATGTTATCAAATTCAAACTAAATTTCTCATACTTTCTGTCTGTGGCTATGAAAATGTCCAAGTATTAAGATATGCATAAATCGAACGTGTTCACTGTTCACTTCATTGAACAGTTCTGCAGTCATTAATAAAACTAAAGTGAGAAAACACAACACTTAACGTACATTAAACGTCCCTGTTCAATTTATACACAATATTTATAGACTAAGAACAATTTAGCTTGACACATTGCCAAAACACAACTCATGAGAGTATTGTTCCTGATAGCATTGTGACCTCAAGATGTTTGATTTGTGTACTTCGGTTGCTGTTTCATAAACGTACACCCCACATATTGAGTATACAATTAACATGTGTACATGAAAGATATTTAACTCTTTATAAATGGTATAATCTAACAAAACAAATACAACAAGTGGAAGACAAATTCAAATAACCAATACCAAAACCATTTAATATCAACTTTGCTTGAAGGAATTTGAATCTAAGTTGCCAGTATATTGCCCTTACAGTATATCAAAGGATAATTTAAGAAATTTATGCTATAAATCGTGTCTCTGGCAAAACACTGACCACTAGGCAGATGATACGTCAGAAAATAAGTCCACCAGTGATCGGTATCTACCCAGTACTGGAGAAGAAATTAATACTTTTGTTGCGTTAGATGCACGAAATTTTAAAAGTGGTATCTTCATTAATTAATTTTGGTTGGCCGATACGAAGCAACGTCCTGAATATTAAAATTGACGGTTTATTCAAATTGTCCTGATATCAGCAGTTGTCAGTCTGGTCAGGGACAGATCTTTATACGTCATTGATGCTTATAAAAAGAAAGAACAAATTACCAAACAAATGCCCAATAAAAACATATCAAACTGAGTGCCCCAAACATAAATTTACACTGTAGTTGAGCTACGACAATACAGAAAACAAAATAAATTTTTCTACACATAGAAACAAGTTGAATTCATCATTGGTAAATCATTGTAGATGTGGTAATATATCCATATAAAACCTAATAACATACAAATGATTTTAACATTTATATCAATTCAGACGGGGAGGATAACAAAACCTATTTTATAAAAGTAAATTTACCAAATCAATGAAAAGTTGTCAAAGAAAATTATTGGCATTGTTGGTTATATAGAACTATTTTTACCAAACACAGATATTTTCTATAGTCGTAACTACAATCACGTTCTCGATAGTAAAATCAACAAATGAGACTTTTTTGCGACCAATAAAGCTACGGAATAATCCTATGTTAAAACGTTTAGAATTGCGACCCAGGTTCAGGTCGCACGTATTTCCAGAAAATTCATTGTTTATCGACCGTGCGTGGCTTGTCAATGCATATATAAAAAAAGAAGATGTGGTATGATTGCCAATGAGACAAATATCCACCAAAGTTCAAATGAAGTGGATGTAAGCAGTTATGGGCAACCGTACGGCCTTCAACAATGAGAAAAAAACCATACCGTAAAGTTGACTAGCTATAACAGGCCCCGACATGAAAAATATGAAACAATTCAATTGAGAAAACTTACGGCTTAATCTATAACAAAACAATTTACGAAATACAAATATGACAGACATGAACCAACGACAACCACTGAACTACAGGCTCCTGACTTTGGACAGGCATACAAAGAATGTGGCGGGGTTAAACATGTTTGTGAGCGCTCAACCCTCCTCTAACCTGGTACAGTGGTGTCAGCACAACATAAGAACAAACTTAAAAATCAGTTGAAAATGGTTTAACTAATCAGATCGATGCAAAGCAGAAATACATCTAACAAAAAAACAGACCGGACATGGCAGGGTATTTATACATACCTAACAACAATAAAAAAAAAACCCACAATGTACAGATCACAGAGTACTCGCAGTTACTGACAACTAGTTCAAAGCCAATAACAACTAATAAAAGAAAAAATGTATCTAAGACTAATGTATCAATCAGCACACATCCAGCATCCAATGAATTTAGTGTAAAGACGTCATTAACAGTCAAAGAAAATCATGACCTTGTGCAATGCCAAAATATAGGTATCGACAGATTGTAGTACTGTGAAAGTGTATATGTGTATAACAAAACTATTTCGTATGGTTTCAATAGTTCGCTTCTGTAGATATTTTTCTACGATGTTACGTATCTATTTATGACTGAATATTCATTTCCTTGACACTATTATCTAATTACTTTCTTTTCTAAATGTCTCTGCCCATTTCGTTCAGTCATTTTGAATTTGGTCGTACGAAATGAACATGCATTGACAAGCTACGCACGGTCGATAAACAACGTTTTTTTTTTTGGAAAAAAGATCATTTATAAAAACAAACTAAGAAAATATACATATGTCCTAATTAGGCTAGAAAATTCAGCTGTATTATGGTAAATAAACGTAGACGGACAAATTGAAATTCGGTGATATATCTAGTTTTTAAACAAATATCGGACGAACTTATTTCAAAATTGCTTGACGGTTTTAAGAAAATATATTGTCTAAAAGAATATCTATTCGTTTCTTTTTTACACTGTTCATGGAAGTTACATCGATAACCTGTTCCCGCGCCGCTCAGACAGTTTAATCCGCGGCGAGTTCCTTCGGCTAAACGGCGTATATAATTTACCTTGGAGTAATGTTCTTTCTATCAGCCCATTTTTCGGGTTCTGTCTGCGGATCAACTGTTTTTCTGTAATGGAAAATCATTTGTATTTTGCGTTCTGGCTTAAAATATTGATTTTTATCATTTACATTCGTATGTCAATATTTCAATGCTCTGTTTGTTTTATAATATTTCATAATTCCATTGCTTTTATTTATCACTTTCAACCTGTGGTATAAATTGTTTCCTATATTTCTTCATTCCAATAAAATTGAGAATGGAAATGGGGAATGTGTCAAAGAGACAACAACCCGACCAGAAAACAGCCGAAGGCCACCAATTGGTCTTCAACACAGCGAGAAATTCCCGCACCCGGAAGCGGGCTTCAGCTAGCCCCTAAACAAAAGTGTGTACTAGTTCAGTGAAAATGGACGTCATACTAAAAACTCCAAAACATATAAATGAACTAAAATTAAAAATCATGCAAGACTAACAAAGGCCAGAGGCTCCTGACTTGGGACAGGCGCAAAAATGCGGCGGGGTTCAACATGTTTAGTGAGATCTCAACCCTCCCCCTATACCTCTAGCCTATGTAGAAAAAACAAACACACAGCAATACGCACAGTAAAACTCAGTTTAAAAGAAGTCCGAGTCCGATGTCAAAATAGGTAACGAAAGAAACTAAGCAAAATGACAATGACAATATAAATGTATGACATGAATCTGCTTTAATCTGCTAATTATAATTAAAGCAATGCTAAGTAATAGAGACTGACAATAAATTGTATATATCAATTATGTCTCACATTACTTAAGTTTCCATATTCACATTTGATCGTTATGGAATATATGTTTCACAGATGACGACGGATGTGTTCCAATTGCCGTTACCACAATCCCGTCCGCTTTTCCTCGAATGTGTACTACCGGATTAGACTTATCACCGGGTTTGTACTTACATGAGCACCACGACGGATGCCACATGTGAAGCAGGATCTTCTTACCGTTTGCTCAGACTATTTTCATATGTTGAGTTTTGTGTACTGTTGTTTGTCTTTTGGTCCTTTTTTTGCCAAGGAATTAGTCAGTTTATTTTCGACTTATGAGTTTGAATATCCCTTCGGTATCCTTCAACAGTCTTTAAAATGTACAACTATGGGATGCTCACTCCATATGCAGATGCTGCTGGAAGTTGATGAACAAAAGCAAGCAATTCCCAATATATAAATTGAAATCCTATAATTGACGTAGGGTTTAGTTTTCAATGGACCCTCGATATCATTATCTAGAAATTTGTCATGATACTATCATGAAGAAGCTTAAACAGTGTATACGTCAATACGTCAGTATATATGTCAAATTAATTGGATCAACATAGTCATTGAGATCAATTATTAATTGAAAGGACAGTCTCAGACTGCCATATGAGACAAAAAAGGAACAACGTGAACAAGTCGACAAGATGAGGAAAAAAGTATGTTCCAAATGGGAATATCGATAGTTTATTGTCAAATACATGTACATCCTAGGTCCAAAAACGTAGCAAATATGTTTCCAATAAACAAAATCTAAAGTTTTGATAATGTCAGTTTCAGAGAGCTATTTTTAATCAAATTATTTTACGGTGTATGATTTCCCCCTTCATAAAAAAAGGATATTTGTATCTCCTTTGGCTATTCATTTAAAGAAACTAAGTTTGATTATTTTTTTCAGTCTATTTCAGTTAAGAATCAGATGTACTTGTGTACTAAATAATTAAATGGTTTTGTCTAATTCTTAGCCGATTTATCCTCTCCCCGATCGGTTGATTATTTTATCTAATCAACGTGTGGTTCGTTTGACCTCAGTTCTTCACTGATCGAAATTCAAATATCATGTAAAATTGCTGTTCTCTGAAAATCCAATTATAACGTCAAGAAAAGGGAAAACCATGCCTGTTGACGTCACATATGAAGAACACAACGTTTTGTAGATCTTTGAAAAAGTTTGTCTACCTATCGCCTAAAATCATAAGAGAAACAGATTTCATCACCAACTCTGGTACAAAATGATATTTCTTCACTCCCGACAGTTAAATTTTGAATATTTAAAACGCTCGGCAAGCCTCACGGTATACATTTAACAATTTCCCTGTCTCGAGTGTAAAATATCACATCACACTCGATGCAGTGTTGGAATCTAAATTTATACTATACTAGAAGAACGTAGAATAAATTCACACTTTTTTAATCTGAATACTGACCAGTCAAACGTAAATGAAAACAATCAACTTTGTTAGTATCTTAAATATTTGTAACATTCCATGCTATATATATAGTGTGTATCTGCATTAGCTCTCAGAACTGCTTAAAATAAAATATAGTGGGTCTAAGGTTGTAATTATTTGATTTTCAATATTGAATAAGAGGTACAGTTGTCTACCGAAGACACAATTGGCAAATTTACAGTTCAGACGACTCTAATCCAACCAAAGATCTTAAACCGCGAAAACATGCCGATAATAAGTTGAGACATAGACACATCGTATTGTTCAACTATTCGTGATGGTGACCGTAAAATTCTGTAGTCATGATTTCAGTCGTTTTCTTGGCTATTCATTGTTTCAGGAAGACACTCCTGTTAATGTAGTTCGAACAGTGTCAACCTGCACGGGTGTATGTTTACGCCATTTGACTGGTAGAGGCTATATTACTGCTAACAAATGAAAAGTAGATCATTCGAAAATTAAAATCATCACGTTTGTCATAGATTTTAGTTTGATGTGGTCCATCTGTTTCACATATGTTGGGGGATGATTACTAACATATATTTTAGCAATGAATAATTCTCTATTTTCATATGATTTTGAATTTTTTTGTTATTTGGTTAAAATGTTTATTGATGTTTTGTATAAAATGTTAACCTGTAGAGAAATATCCCATGACTTAATTGTATGTAAAGTGCGAACAGCAAATTGAGCTCAATCAAATGAATGGATGCAAGTTTTAGTAAAAATCATTATTAAAGATTCATCTTTGAACTTTGATAATTTGCTTTGTAATCACCGCGATGTGTGACAGTTAATCTTCAAAACTGCTGTTAATAAATGTTCTGCAGTGTAATTTAATTTGCAATGACTCTAAAGCATTGCTATAATATAGATTTGTAAATTTAATTTTTTTTCCGTATGACATTTGAGTTGCAGAAAACTAAATTAGGTTAAAATAGTTTATATCTTCAGCAATGTACAAAATGTCAAAGCCAAAGCTGGGAAAGTTGCAAGTGACATGAACAATCGGAAATATTGCGGAGTATAGGTCTATGTAAACACTGGTTATAGCCTATCACACCAATTCCCGAAAATATTCGAAACTATTTTGTTGTTCGAGGTCTCTCTTTAATAAACAAAGTTGTAATCAAATTCAATACAGATATTTCTTTAATTTTATTCAAAATGTTTAATAAATATTTTACCTTAAATGCTTACCTGTAGAGAAAGTTCCCATGACTTAATTGTATGCAAAATGCGAACAGCAAACTGAGCTCAATCAACATGAATGGATGCATGTTTTAGTAAAAATTATTATTAACGAGTCATCTTTGAACTTTGATAATTTACTTTGTAATGACCGCGATGTGTGACAGTTAATCTTCAAAACCGCTGTCAATAAATGTTGTGAAGTAATTTAATTTGCAAATGTCTCTAAACCATTGCTATAATATAGATTTTGTTTTTGAAATTTATTTTGTTTTCAGTAGGACATTTGAGTTGAAGAAAACTAAATCAGGTTAACATAGTTTCTATCTTCAGCAATGTACAAAATGTCAAAGCCAAAGCTGGATAAGTTGCAAGTGATATAAACAATCGGAGATATTGAGGAGTGTGGGTCTATGTAAACACTTGTTATAGCCTATCACACCAATTCCCGAAAAAAATCAAAATTTTGTTGTTCAAGATCTGCCTTCAATAAACAAAGTTCTAATCAAATTCAATACAGAAATGTCTTTAATTTTATTCAAAATGTTTAATAAATATTTTACCTTAAATGCTTCTTTTTCTTTTTCTTTTTACTTTCGATTTTATTTATTTTTTCAAAACCAGAGTTACCAACAGTGCTATTCAGTAGTCTGTAAAACAATGATATAATCATTTTAGAGCGATTACATGCAAGTAAGGGTAATTTACGTCTCATACTGATAGTGTATACATAATCTTATAGACAAGAAACATTCAATAAAATGCACTATAAAAAAGAATGATGTGGTATGATTGCCAGTGAGTCAACTATTTACGATCTACCAAATGACGAGGGTGTAAGCAGTTATAGGTCATCGCATGGCCTTCAACAAGGAGCAAAACTACATAAATTTCAGCTGTGTGAGGCCCCGCCTTGACAAAATGTAAATCAACTCAAACGAGAAAACAAAAGGTCAAGTTTATGCTAAAATAAAAAACGAAAACCAAATACAACTGACGACAACCAATGAATTACAGGCTCCTGACTTGAGAAAGGAACATTAACTTGGACTGTGATGTAACAGTACCACATATTAAAGAACAAATTTCAAAAATCAGTTGGAAAGAGCTTGACTTATCCAAACGGTACGAAGAACAACAAAATATAATTGATATATGACAAGAGATTTGAAGTACCGATGAAGGTGTACTCAGAGCTACTATGACATCGATACACGGGAACATTATATGGTGACAAAAAGCTGTATTAATACGATATTTGGTTGAAACTACATGTACGTTATGTAATTCCTTGGTGGTATTTAGTCCAGTTTGCATTATAATTTATGTCTATCACTGAAATATAGTTTAGAGATCATCTAATGTACAAGTGAGGCAATGTTTCTTAATATGTTTGCCATTATATCTATCATCAAAGTGTCTTGTATCAAGAGTATTCATGAACTTAGTTATGTATTATCATGGTATACCATCATTCCCATCCGTCATAAAAAGAGAGAAAAAAATACAAAGGAAGCAATACAAAATTATGCGTCAAATATAAACAGACCGTTTCACGGCAAAAATAGCCATGATAGTAAGCGCAATTCCTGGCATATCTTATCAACTGGGAGATATATGATCCAATTGCAGACGCTGCTGGACCGTTACTTCACATCTGTATTGTCTTCAAGTTAAGTTTTTAACCGGCCTTCATTTTTCATTTATAGGTGTAAGTTATAAGGCAGACTTAACTGTATCTGTATCATCCTTAATTTCAAGTTCATTTTTGATAGATGCAGTCAACAAAGTCACCAAACTATGGATTTTATAGTTAAAGGACATCATTAATATAACAGAAAGTGAAGTTAAAGTGAAGTTCCTGTATGAAGCCTGTCACAGAAAAACAAACAATAGGACAAGTCAGGAAACAGAGAAGAACAGCCGATTTGAACCATAAGAATTGCGATTGTCTGTTGAAAAAACTCCTCAAAATGTAACAAATATGTTGTCAATAATACCCCCTACCATTTCATTTCAGATTGTTTTAATCGAATAATAGTGTTTGAATATGTCAGCAGTCGGTACCGATTCTCATACTTGTACTACGATTTCTCCACTGAGTACAAAATGTATAATATCGTCACAATGGCCATATATATTCCAATTAATTGAATTGCTGTCTTTCAAATAAAACTATTTAATAGAACGATTACCAAATACAAACCATGTCAACCAACTGTTCATTATTCGACTGGGATCGTTTGGAGAGTATTTAAAAGTGAAGTGCAGTATTTACAAATGTATGTTGTTATAAAAGTATGTTGTTATAAAGTTGAGAATGGAAACGGGGAATGTGTCAAAGAGACAACAACCCAACCAAAAAGCAGAAAACAGCCCAAGTTTCCTATTATTGAACGTATATATTGCATGGTTGTATCATGCAGGTATATATTTCCATTAAGAGTTACAATTTTCCTTTAACCATTTGTTTATATGATATTGAATTTGTATTACTTTCAAACAAAGTGTCAGTGGTTGCTGTTTTCTAAAGAGACTACAAATGTGAAGTTTAGTTTTACATCCAACTATTTAATGTTAATATGAGACCTACTTGCACAGACGATTCAAACAGGGAATTTTCAACTGTTTTTGTGACTTCAAACCATAAGTTTACAAACTGTGTGTTGTGTATATTATATCAGAAGCATATCCCGTTTGTTTCCAACATCTGTGATTTCAACCGTAAAACAAATTTATATTGGAATTTTTCTAACTGTTATTTTATAATTTTAAATCATACAATAATCGTTTGATAATATACATCCTTTTAGATGTATGAACTGTTTTATTCCAGATTTTTCAATTTTAATCAATGTTCCGCGAAGTTTTGGGCGACATCGTGTTAGCATTTAAACACAAAATGTATATGGTTTGTCATTATTATTATTATCATTATCAAATTCATTATTTTGTTTTTATTTATATTATTAAAATTATTATCACCATTTGCCATTTGGTAACTTTATCATAAATCGGTGGGGATTTATATTTATTGGAAGCACATAAATAATACTACCGTTTTGATTCTGAAACATTGTCATGTCCGCTATCCAACTGATCGTATTCATTCTTCCTGAAAGATAACAAATATTAGAGAACATTAACATTATGTTACAGTGAGGGAATGTTTGATATTTTAAACATAGATAAGGAGTTAAAATCATTTTTTATGATATATGTAAGCTAGCTAATATAAATAAATAAGGCCATATCCCTGTCGTTTAATATATACTTAGTCTAGTAACATTGACGGCCATTACGATGAATTTTCTTCAAAAGCGATGTGTTCTTTATCTGATTGCAAAATTTACATACTGTTGATGAATCGCCAAACAAATTGCTTGCTCGTTTTACTTTCCTCTTAATCTGTAGAAACCAGTATCCAATCAAATTTAAATCTCTAAATTAAATATATATTACCTTTGAAAACTACCACTGAAAACGGAAGATTCCTGCGAATCGACTGATAACTGTGACAATGATGTTTGTGGTCGCCGCTGATTGGTACTTTCATCAATTCTAGATTGAAAAATAGATAGTCTGGGATATATAAAAGATATGTTTTATACAGGGGCTTCTCTAGAAGAATCAAAAGAAGCAATCATTTTCCTTTAGCTTCACGTTCCGCCATTTAGATGATGTCCTCTCATTAAAAAAGAGGGACGAAAGATACCAAGGGACAGTCAAGTTCATAGATCGAAAACAAACTGACAACGCCATGGCCAAAAATAAAAAGAAAAACAGACAAATAATAGTACAGGTGACACAACATAGAAAACTAAAGACTAAGCAACACGAACCCCACCAAAAACTGGGGGTGATCTCAGGTGAACCGGAAGGGTAAGCAGATCCTGCTCCACATGTGGCACCCGTCGTGTTGCTTATGTTATTACAAATCCGGTAAATAGTCTAATTCGGTAGGTCACATTCGTGAAAAGGGAAGGGTATTGTAGTTACGACATAAGGAACATATCCGATATCATCTGTGAAACGGTTATTCCATAACGGTCAACCAACTCGTGATGGCGTCCGTAAAATTTACGAAGGGATGATTTCAACTTCACCATTTGGAACTCTTGGTTTAATAGCTTCCTTGTAAGCAGCAATCCTCTATCAAGGAAATCATGATAGGAGATACAGGCCCGGGAATATCGTATCAATTGGGAGATATATACTCCGTATGCAGGCGCTGCTGGGATATTGCTACATAGAAATGGAAAGTTCACAATTGGGAAGCTGAAATCATCTCTTTTGTCGTAAAGTTTGGTTTTCAACCGACCCTCGTTGTCAATTTCTAGATGTAAGTCAAGATTTGAGGCAGACTTAACTGTATCTGTAGTATCCTTTATCTCTAGTTCGATGGGATAGATTCGTTCAACATAGTCACCAAATTTTGTATTATTAAGTGAGAGAACATCATCTATATAGCGGAACGTAAAGTTAAAGGATATTACTAACTTCTTATCTTTCTTCCTAAGAAGTTCCTGTATGAAGTCAGCCTCATAATAATAAAGAAACAAGTCGGCAAGAAGAGGGGCACAATTGGTTCCCATAGGAATTCCGACAGTCTGTTGAAAAACACGTCCTCCAAACGTAACAAATATGTTGTCAATCAAGAAATCAAGCATCTTGATAATGTCAGTTTCAGAGAATTTTTTGTTTGAATCAGAGTGATTCTTTACAAAGTAGGATTTATCCCTCCCCAAGACAAGACACTTGTATCTACGTTCGCCATTCTTTTTAATGAAACAAAGTAATACCAACTCTTTCAATTTGTCTTTTAGTTTGGAATGGGGAATACTTGTGTAAAGTGTAGAAAAGTCAAATGTTTTAATACTATTGCAAGATGAGAGAGTCTTAGATTGTATGTACTCTAAAAGATCTTTGGAATTTTTTAGTATCCACATCTGATTCACGCCACCTCTAGAATAGGCAGTTTTACAATAACTTTGGAGCCTGCCTTTGATTGCTGATAAAATAGATGTTAATAATTTAGAAAGAGGTTTCATGGAGCACTTGGAGGACCCAGCAATATACCGTTGTTTGTAAATGATTCAAATATTGGTGATTCTGTTGAACGGATCTATCCCATTGAATTTTAAATTAAAGGATACCATAGATACCATTGAGTATACTTCATATCTTGATTTACATCTAGTATATGAAAATGAGGGTCAGCTAAGAACAAAACAAACGGGTTAATTGCTACTTTACACTAGCCAACTTTCCATTTCTACGAAACAACAATCCAGTATACGTAGCGCTGGTATATGGAGTAAAAATCTCCCAGTTTATACGATATTCCAGAGCTTGCGTTTCATGTTTTGATTTCCTTAAAAGAGGGTTATGCTAAAAAGGAAGCTATTGAACCAACTATTTTCAGTAGTAAAGCTGAAGTCAAGTTCCAAAATTTTACAAACGCTATCACGAGTTGGTAGACTGTTATGTAATATATGCATCACAGATGACCAAGATTTGTCTAAATTGTCGTAACCATAATCCCGTCCAGTTTTCCTCGATTGTAAAACTATCGAATGAGACTAATCACCTAATTGTACTTACCAGACAACTCGACGAATGCAATTAGTGGAACAGATTATGCTTACCATTCCAGAACACTGGTGATCATCCCCGGTGTTTGATGGAGTTCGTGTTGCCCTGTCTAGTTATCTATATAGTGTTTTGTGGACTTGTTTGTCTTTACATCGTCTTTCGATTGTGCCCTGGAGATATAAGTTTTCTTCGACTTCTGGGTTTTATTGATGACGATAATACTTTAGAAATCGAAAAACGGTTTTGTAAAATTTAATATATATTTTCAAGATCTTCTTAAAAAGACATCCTTTCTCAAACAATGATTACATTCCAAACAAGATCGAGTAATCGTATAAACATGATCTTAATATAATTTATTCTACCATTCGATTTGCTAATGAGCAGATGACATTCGAATATTTAAAACACTTGCTTGCTTTAACATTTTCATGACATTTTATGTGGATATAGCCTACATACATTGTATAAACGGGTGTGCATGTAAAACAGATGAACATTCATTTGTTTTGAAATTTCAAATAATGCGACTGCAGTCGTTTTTTATTTTTATTATTTGGGAACAGGTATTATTAATATTTGCCCTTCCAGATATAGCAAAAGCTCTCAACAGATCATAGGATGAAAGGCAGAACAGATACAGTCAGCAAAATAGTTGTTAAATTAGTGTATTACAATATATACAGATTAATTATGATGTCTTTAACATCTCCTACTGTATTGAATGTAAATGAACGGCACAGAGATATTGGTATGTTACAATGAGACAACAAGCCAACGACAGAAAAAATACATTTAAAAAAGTTCAAAATACGGTCTTTGGTTTGAACCAAGGCTCCGTGTTGAAGGCCGTACTTTGACCTATAATGGTTTACTTTTACAAATTGTGACTTGAATGGAGAGTTGTCTCATTGGCACTCATACCACATCTTCTTATATCTATTTAACAATAGAGAGTGGTTCAAAGAGTTTGAGACTTTCAATCGCCCCTTTCTTTAATGTCGAAAATATAGAGGTTATCTCTCTTTTACGTCACAAACATGTTGCAAATTACTTATTTGACCTAAATTATCCATTTCACGCATGTTTTGGGTCAAAATATATATGACCCGCAGCTTTACCCAACAGGACATTTTACAGCTAATAATATCATTGTAAAATACATTTTTAGCGAATATCTGTTCTAGTGAAGCAGTTGCCCAATTCTAAGTATAAAAAAAGGTCCCAAAATAAGACTATTTTAGCAGTTTTTGCTGTTTTGCACTAAAAGTTTGAACGTCAATATATAAGACAAAATTTAAATATAAAAAAGTGACATCCTACAGACTATATCTTGTGAACATCTGAAGGATGTTTTTTGGAAGATGTATAAAACTTTTAAATTTTCGAATTCAAGGGGACAAATAAGTGGCCTAAACATGCCTTATCCTTTTAAAGTCTCCAAAATGTCGAGAATGAATCAGCAGAGGCTATCGACGATCCTCTAACATCATCAATCTTATCTATTAACAGAATGCCAAAACGTAACAAAGAACCTACAATAAAATTCAGAACAGAAACAAAATAACCTATCTCCCTAACCTTATCTAACGAACATTGATTGAGTGTTGATTAGTATTTGCTTTACGCTTCAGCATAAAACGATAATACAGCATCGAGAGCTAATTATTCAAATATTTTTAACAGTAGGTACTGTTTAAAAAAATAAGCAAAAGGTCCTTCAATATACTAAAAACTATGTTAAAAGTGAAATTTTCTATTTACAAATAAAATTCGACACTAAAACTACGTGATGAAAATTAAGAAGCTGTTACCACACATTTCAATTTTGGAACATATTCTTATTTCTTACAAAAATTTAATAACAAAACAACCTATCTACCTAACCTTATCATACGAACATAGATTGATTGTTGATTAGTATATAAAATAAATCGTACATATTATTTACGTTCAAATGTTTCCTCCTGATATCGGCAGAGTCAATACATTCAATTAAAACAAAAATGAATTAAGAAGTGAACACTCTAGAAGAATGACGTAACCAAACCTTACAATAAAGAATATGATGATTAAATAACTAATAGAAAATGAACAGACTTGCAGTTTATAATAATTTTTCGCATTAAAATTAAATGATCAATTATAAGATATTGTTCAAGAAGGGACAGCTATATCAAATTATTTTCGATTCAATACGAGTTACTTATTGCGCACAAATTTCATTTATATATTCAGAAATTAGAAACATTTATATGAATAATTTTTCGTTCGGTTTCATGACGTTTAGCAAAACAATTAGTAAATGACAAACAATATACATGTTCTTTCAATTAGATTGATTTATTTTATACACTGTCAACTTTCAGCTAATGAGGACTTCACTTTGGTATAATGATCTATAATGTGTGTAATATGTGTCCAAGATTGTTTTTCAAACTGCGTACATGCGATGGGGACGTGTCAATTTCAAATTGTTCCAGTTCATGTTTTTTTTTTTTTTTTACATTTTAACTTAAGACAAAGTATACTTAATGATATCTTTATCATTAACGGAAAGCTTAATACTAAAATATATGATAAAAGAGATGATTTTTCATTTCCTATCGTTAATTATCCATTTTTAGATGGTGACGTTCCCTTGTCACCATCTTACGGTGTTTATATATCTCAACTTGTACGATTCGCTCGTGTATGTAACAATGTTTTAGATTTTAACGAGAGAAATTTATGTATTACTGAAAAATTATTACACCAGGGTTTTCGATATCATAAACTAGTCAAAACATTTACTAAATTTTATCATCGGTATAAGGACATAATTCGTAAATATAGCTCAACATGTAGACTTTCACATCCAATTTTTTATGGAAATATTCTTTATAAAGCACAAAAATGTCAGTATTCACCTCTGAAGCTAACAAAACCTTTAAATAGACTTATTAAGAAGGGATATAGTTACGATACTGTTGTCAGGTCATTAAAGATTGCATATTTTGGCGTTAATATTGATTCACTTATAGGGTCTTTGCATCGGCACTAAACACATTTATTTAAAAACCAGTTGTTGGCATGACACGGGTTATGTTCTTCTCATATATGTTATGATGGTATGATACTAAACCCCTAACGGGAAGGATTGTGCCTGATATTCATATGATGAAGACATAATCTTTCAATCAGTTTAATTGAAGTCTGGAGCTGACATGTCAGTTAACTGCTAGTAGTCTGTTGATATTTATGTATTATTGTCATTTTGTTTATTTTCTTTGGTTACATCTTCTGACATCAGACTCGGACTTCTCTTGAACTGAATTTTAATGTGCGTATTGTTATGCGTTTACTTTTCTACATTGGCTAGAGGTATAGGGGGAGGGTTGAGATCTCATAAACATGTTTAACCCCGCCGCATTTTTGCGCCTGTCCCAAGTCAGGAGCCTCTAGCCTTTGTCAGTCTTGTATTATTTTTAATTTTAGTTTCTTGTGTACAATTTGGAGTTTAGTATGGCGTTCATTATCACTGAACTAGTATATATATTTGTTATGGGGCCAGCTGAAGGACGCCTCCGGGTGCGGGAATTTCTCGCTACATTGAAGACCTGTTGGTGACCTTCTGCTGTTGTCTGTTCTATGTTCGGGTTGTTGTCTCTTTGACACATTCCCCATTTCCATTCTCAATTTTATTAATGGTTATGTTCTTTCTTATTTACTGTTATCATATCACCTTTTTTTTAATTTAGTATTCAACACACCTCTTGTTATACATACGACCTTGCACATTGCTAGAGTATTCGCTCAGTGGCAAAACAGTACTATTACCAAATATCTGTACATCTCCAGGTAACAAACATTGTGATGTCTGCTCTGTCGACCTGAAATATGGTGGAACACATAGCATGCATAGTTGATATAAAATAAATGGTACATATTGTAATACACCACATGCGCATTTGCGAGAATTGATGTCTTTTCATAATGTTGGAGGCCAAATAAAATGCAAATTCAAAGTTAAATTCAAAGCCAAATTCAAAGTTTGAAGAGCTTATACGATTAAAGGACTACGAAGTATTATAATCAACCCGGACAAGTATAAAAGCTAACACGACGGGTGGTTAGTTCTTTCTAATTTAATTTCATAATGTGGTTGTTACACATGACGAAATGTTCTTAATTGGTCAGATCAAAAGCATACATTTATGAATAATGTACACCTATCGGTGTATATGAAGTGCGAATCCTGAAATATAATTTTTACTGTATCTGTCATGTATTTCTGATGTAGAATGATAAATAAAAAGACGAAAAATTGATGATTTTTTCAATAAAATAAGAAATGATATATCAAATGTATTGTATTTATAAATTCATGATACAGGTACAAAAACGTAAGAGATGCAGAAGGGTTTATATCGCGTCCACAGCCTTCCAGGTAGGAAATCAATACACAAACATGTAAATATTAAGAATATTTCGCGAATAGAGCGTGCAGGAGATTTAAAAGCAACAGTAAAGATTTATTGTCAGTAAAATATACCTTTTAACATAATTATTAATGTTGTATAACTTAAAACAGGTTTTGTCATTCAGTTTGTTGATATTGAGTTAAATTCCACTATGCTGCTTTCGTTGTGCGATTCATGCTTACTGTCGAATAATGATACACTATACTTTCATTTTCACTATATGGGCGATTCATTTCTATTGTATATGCGGTGCATTTTCCCAGTAGGAATCTTATTCATTTTTCATCAAATAGATTCTTAATTCAGCCGACTTGCTCACAAACTAAATAAAGTCAGAACGATTTGATAATGCTTACTTTGTGAGTGAAAGCGTAAAAATAGCATTTATTGCTAAAATATTTGTTTCTAATAATTTCCAGATATATAAAATGGTAGAATTTATCCATTGCAATGACATTTTATCATCGAATGTATAGTATGCATGATATGAACTTGTATCACCTCAAGACGATGTGTCGAATATCATCATTACCTTTGTGTGAAGTTGACCTCAAGATCAAAATACTAGATTTTTGGGAGATTTTCGCGAAATCTCTCAAAAACTAGATTGCAAGTAGGCGCGTCCGATAAGTTGGTTCATCTTACTCCAGTAAGTTCTGTTCCGTGTGGAACATATACAAAATTCAGGTGTTTTTATTTTCAATGTAAAATGTTAGAAATGTCAAAAAGTTAAGTCGTTACAAAAAAATAAAAGATGGGTATTTCAAAAGAGACAGTATATGTTCTTCTGGATGATTTTACCAACGAAGGATACAGTACTATTACGAAAACTCGTAACGAAATTACAGTAAACAATTTCATAAACTGATGACTATTTTAGAAAATCAAATTAACTATGTATGCGGGATATATTCTGGAGGAAGATACGCTCACTATCTGTATATATATATTAGTTGTTATTTAAAGTTAATATTTAAGCGTTTTAAAGGAATATTTTGTGACCAAGGTTTGCAAACATGCGTGCGTTCATCATTTAGTAAGTATAGTTCGAGTTAAGATTAGAATTCTTTAATCTATGTTGATGACTTAACATGCCTACAACGTTTACATACATTTATGTATACAAATTGTGTACATAACTCAGCATATTTTTAATATTATAGATCGGCTTCCCTCGGCTTGTTGTTGTTTATCGCTTAAGAACACACAACGTCCGGAATCAACTGTATATCCTGTGTATATTCAAGTAGGCATGATTTAAAAGATGCATAAATATCGTCAATATTAAAGTCATCAAATGAATGTCGTTACTTTTTACATGTCCAATTATCCCATCAAACCTCAATGAAAATTCATCGCACCTTCAAAAATCCCACATCAGAAATGATCGCAATTACAGTGATAATGCATCGCACTTATAGTTAAAGCCGCTTTCAATAATCAATATTCTATATTCTGTTGCTTTAATAACACATTTTTTTACTTTATTCCTGTAAATGATCACTGTAAAGTCATATTCTAATGATGTTGTGTATAATAAAATTGAGAATGAAAATGAGGAATGTGTCAAAGAGACAACAACCCGACCAAAGAGCAGAAAACAGCCGAAGGCCACCAATGATTATTATGTATTTTCAAAAATTAAACAAACGCAGTTTTTCCCATCATCCTTTATTCTACAATAGTAATCCTCGCGTATGACAGTGAAAATGAACTATCTGGATTCGCACTTTATATACACTGCATATATTAACCTTACATAAATAATCAATAACTTTTTTAAGCATTGCATATTCTGATAATTAACTTACAATATACTAACTGAGCTCCTTTTACCGACTTGGTCCTCTTTCTCGTGAGATTTAATTTTCTTCCTGTAAAATATGAACACAGTATACTGTATATACGTACAATCTTGCATACATTGCCTGTGATTTTGGTCATTTAAAAAAGTCGTTGTTGACCTTAACTGATGGACTATCATAACATGTGCGTGAAACCTTTCCGTGAAAACTTTGTACCCAAACAATATTTGGAATTTTCTGAAAGTGTTATAAGTAAAAGGGGGAGGTATGTAGAGAAGCATGCTAAGGTAATTAAAAAAAATAAATATTTAAATTATTCAATTCTTTTTCAGTACTGACATGTCATTTGTGATTTCACTGTAATGTCAAAAATAGGACTTGTTGTATTCACATATTTAACCTAAAGTAGCATTTTTTTGGCAAAGTTAAATATTATCAATAGAAACTCTACCCTTAATTCAAGCATTTTGTTGCAAAATATCTTTTTAGGGTCAACCTTGGATAATATCTAAACATTAATCTCAAAATGAGAATCTTAGCAAATTTGCATTTTTGCATAAAAAAATGAACTCAGCCCAAAAACAAATATGTCAGAAACTATGCAAAACAATCATATACGTATATCTTACAGACTTATATCTTGGGATCTTCTAAACAAGGAAATTTCAATATTGTTTTCAATATAATGGAATTTTATGCGACTGTCATACAAGTGAGAGGTTTAGCTAGCTATAAAACCAGGTTTGATCCACCATTTTCTACATAAGGAAATGTCTGTACCAAGTCAGAAATATGACAGTTGTTTTCCTCCGTTTGAGGTGTTTGAGCTTTTGATTTTGCCATTTGATAAGGGACTTTCCGATTTGAATTTTCCTTGGAGTTCGGTATTTTTTGTTATTTTACTTTTTCTTAGATATATTATATTTTTCCGAGTTCATAGGAAGAACAAGTTGACCTTATCGTATCTACGCTTTAAGTAAAATTCAAGTTAAATTTGTTCCTATAATTCTTTTCTGATCTTCTACACTATTTGATTGACAAGTGTAATCGTTCAGTGTCAGATCTAGCGAAGTCTTTCCCTGGCTGTGTGATAAATATATCAGGATAAAAGCATTTTAATATGAACAGACGGTCTTGAACAATTAAAAAGTGTAAATAGCGAATTTTCCATTGAACTGTTTAAAACAAATTGAAACTATGCAAAAAAGATGAATCTAGAACAATAGAAAAGTAGCTCTCGAAGCCAGGAGGTGTAAAAAAAATTCGGTAGTTTGCTGCATTGGTGATCGCACTGTTGAATCGTGATCGATACCACAATTTGGCGTTTTTTAAAGTATTTGTTAAACTTCTTATATAATTATATATATACATGCAAATGCATATTATCTAATTATCACTAATTATCGATAATTTCTGTATGAGCTTATTACACTGATATTTTAAAATATGTTAATCTTTTCTGCATATTGGTAAAATTCATGTACATACAGTATCCAAACTTTCTCCCATACACATATTATGCAATGCAGTCCTCACATGGAACAATTTCCGGTCATTTAACTATTTCAACAATTAAGTTTTGGAGCACTCCGCTCTACTCATTATCACTATCACTTTCAATATTAAATTTACTATGTGAATACAACGATTTACAAAAATATAGAAATAGATGATGGGGTATGATTGCCCGTGAGATAACTATCAACAAGAGTTCAAATGACGTGGATGTAAGCAATTGTAAGTCACCTACAACAATGAGAAAAACCCAAACCGTATTTGTTTAGGTTAAACATTTGTTAATGATTTTACTATTTTCTTATTTTATTTTTTATAGATAAGGTCATTTATATTTTTGCCTAAATTATTCACATCAAATGTATGTCGCAAATCGGTGACTTTTAACTTCAATTCAATAGTGCTAATCTTTATAATGTTTTAATTTTTTCCAGAACTTCTCTAGTATATTTTCATTTGTAGTAGCGGATAATTTTATGTTCCTGTGACATTTACAATAAAACAGTTAGATACAGTCTTGCGTATCAATAACTATGTCAAACCTTCGTTGAATTTTATGACACTTTGAATGAAGCTTTTTATGATTAAAAGATGACGTGAAAACATTAAAGGATAACTCAGTTTTTATTGTAGGGCCTGCGACATTTTGTCGCGGAACCGAGACATATATATAGCGACCATTAATTCAGGCCGGCGTCTTCGGTGTCGTCATAGTTACAGTCAGTGGTTAAATTTTTAGACTTCAATACAATTTTTGTCAAATCTTCATGGAATTTATGAAACATGGACAGAAGCTTTTTTATGATCAAAAGACAGTATCCATAGAATTTTTTTCTAAAATACTTTTTTTCATTTTCCCTATTTTTACTGATAATGGACGTATTCCTTGCGAACTTATAATCAATAGCGGCCTTGTCGGGAACGTGCCAAACATTTGAAAGTCCCTCTTGTCAGTGTTTGCAAGGCGGACAAGTTTTGTCTCTAGATTACCCATTGTATTCTGCATAATTGACTTCTTTGTGTTCAAGTCCTATAAATACATTTATAATAGATAGTTTATACTCACTGATTTAAACTTTTCACATTCTACAATTGAAAAACAAATAGTCAGAAATTTAGTGATTTTTCGTTAAATACATTTATATTGGCGATATTTCCAAAGATTTGGTTGATCTCAATGTTGTTCCGCTTCAATCTACTTGTCGTTGATTAGTTGCAAAGCATTTAAATTAAGAAATTTAAAGAAAAAATCCGTGAAGACAGTCGATGGATTACTGCCAAACGTCAAATCAACGGAAAATTCCCGTTCGAATCATATCCCAATTTAGGCGAGAAATAAAGAATGACCTCTGGTCACGCAAACGCATTGGTGCCATCAAAGATGACGGCTTTCAAAGTTTATCCCCTAAGCATGAGCCGAAAATATTTCAAGTTCCATGATCGAAGAAGTCGAGAATCGCTCTAATGAATTTCCATGAATAATAATCGTGTCTGTTTGTTTTGATCACACATTGTTGTCAATATAATAGAATTTTATGAGACTGTCATACAAGTGAGAGGTTTATGTAGCTATAAAACGAGGTTAAACCCACCATTTTCTATATACGGAAATGCCTGTACCGAGTCAGGAATATGACAGTTGTTTTCCATTCGTTTGATGTGTTTGAGCTTTTGATTTTGCCATTTGATAAGGGACTTTCCGTTTTTAATTTTCCTTGGAGTTCGGTATTTTTGTTATTTTACTTCTTTCGTACACGGTATACTACTATTAATCATGTAAAAATATAACTAGTATACTGTCTATTTTCTAACAATATAAGACCACTTGATCGTTTTAAAACAGGACTGGTCTACCGTACAAAATTTAGTAAGACACTGAAATTGTGGCTTTTGAAAAAAAATTGATAACTGCATCTTTCTTCTTTCATAGAGCATATACCCCAATAGACTATTTGCCATTGTCGATTTGATTTTTTTGTTAGACACTTTTGACACAAGCTGTTTCCCTTTGCTAATTGCAGACTGGATTTAAATCTGACAAAACGGGCTGCTGCCCATGCTAAGCATGGTAAGTTGAAAGTGATATATAGGCGTTTTAACAAATTTTTGTTTTGTGAAAAATAACTGTAACAGTTGATATTAAAAGTTTTTAGCTTAACAAAAGATTTAATGTAATCAAAAAATTTGAAAAGCACAATGATTACAAAACTTACGCAAACATAAGTTAGCTTACCGCTAGCTCTTCATTATCACTGAAAAATGTATGTCCCTCCGAAGGAAAACAACTAGTACAATTGGATCTCTAATAACAGGGTCAATCTCGGAATTTGCAAATAGACTATGTTAGGGGCCAGCCGAAGCCCGCCCCCGGGTGCAGGATTTTCTCGATGCGTTGAAGACCCATTGGTGGCCTTGTGATTTTTTTTGCTCCTTAGTCGGGTTGTTGTCTCTTTGACACATTCCCCGTTTCCATTCTCTATTCTATTAGTCATTTTACAAAACATCCATGAAATTATACATTTAGTTTAGAATTTTCTTGTCTCTCTCATTCATTTTTAGTAAAACCAATGCTTTGAAACCTTTCTGTGCTTAAAACCAAAATAAATGATATATTTTCCTCTAGAATAACTTTCGTCTGGTGTACTCGCGACAAAACGTTTGGAAAGTCATAACATCTATATCTCTTTTAGGGTAAATCTATTGCTCATACAAATGTTGACCAAAAACTAAACGCGAAATGACAATTTTAGGTCAAATACGTTATTTTCGACATGTTTATGACTAATAGTGACATCACTTGTGATGGAATTTGATGCGACTTTCATACAAGTGAGAGGTTTGGCTAGTTATAAAACCAGGTTCAATCCACCATTTTCTACCTAAAAAAATGCCTGTACCAAGTCAGGAATATGACAATTGTTATGCATTCGTTTGATATGTTTGGGCTTTTGATTTTGCCATTTGATTAGGGACTTTCCTTTTTGAGTTTTCCTCGGAGTTCAGTTTTTTTATGATTTTACTTTTTTGTGACTTTTCTGCACTAAAGTATACAGATTACATTAACCTCTCATTTATCAATTAAATTTCATAATGTTGAAAAGCTTGAATAAGTTTACTATTTTTACAATTTCAGGGGCCAAATAACAAAATTCACTGCATTCCGGGTCGATGGTAGTAACAGTTCATCAGGAGAGGCAAGGACGACTATCATGCATGATAAAAAATCCGTTTTGAAATGCAGAGCACATGCATGTTCCTGTTCATTACAACAATTCTATATTGTAGGTTGAACTATATCGCGGTGAACGTTAAACTAAAAAAACGATTTTTTATTATAAAATAAATTTACTTACATTTTTGGATGACGAATTTCCCATTTTTATTCTCATTGTTTATACAAGGTTTGAAGTGCCATAATGTATAGTACCACTGGTTAATGGTTCTTCTTTTTAATTTTCTGGAAACTAAGAAAGATATTCGTTAAATAAGACCCAATGAAGAGTGATGATAAATTTCATTTTAATATTTATTCTGGAATCATTCCTGTGACTAAAATTGTTTGTCTCCTTGTGTCAACGGCCTATTATTGTCGAAAGTGATATTGTATATAAAATCTTTGCGCACAAAATGATGTAACCTTCATACGCGCGAGACCAAACGTTTGAAAAACCAAAAAAAAAAAGAAACAAAAAGAAAAAAAGAAAAAAAGAAAAAATTTAAAGTGCATAAACGTGTAGGTTTAAGTTTGCCTGTGAGAGTTGAACCTTAGCTTTAGCAAATTTGCATGATATTATGAACCATATTTTACCATAAACTTGTACCATATAATCATAATACTTTCAAAGCAGTGGCTACCTGGCGTATAATAATACTCCAATTACTATTTACGTCTCAAATCATCTTGGTATACTTTTTGCGCTTCTAGCCCAAGACGTGTCCATTTTCTTGAGAAAAAAAAACAAGACATGTAGTTATGAATGTAAAAACTAAATAATTTTAAGCAAAACTTTATTTTTCTGAGTTTACATTAGCCAACAATGCAACTACAAGTTGTATATTGTTTGGGTATAACACTCTCACACGTATCATCTCCAATACCATGTCCGTCTAGCCTAGAAATATCCATCTTCAAACTGCATTTTCTTGCGTCGAATCTGTTATTATGGCGTTTTATCGTTATTTGTTTAAATTTCAAGGATGCTAGAATATATGTTATAATAAGTATTCTAGTAGTAAAAGTTAATTATTATTCTTCTGTTTATTTGGAAAGCTTTCTTTTTCATATTTAAATGAGGGACACATATGTCCCTAGCGCGGTCTGCCGACAAGGGACATATATGTCCTTAGCACGGTTAAAGGGTTGAAATGTTTTAAAAGAGATAAACATGGCGTTCTGTAAAAGCAGTAGAACATGGACAATTATTTGTATTTCTGCGTTTTGATATACCAGAATCAATATAGAAAGTTACCGATAAGTAAAACTAACACATTTTTTTTTCCATATTTATCAGTTAACCTGTATAAACATGTATTTCTTTGAAATTGTCTGTGCATGATTGGTTCATGTTCTAAAGTCGTTATCGCCTCGGTGGTCTCGTGGTAGCATGTTCGCCTCGAGTGCGGGAGGTTCAAAGCAAAAACTTTAACATTGGTATTTGCTGCTTCTCTGCTAAGCACGCGGCATAAAGGAGTAAAAACAAAGACTGGTCGGCTCGGAGTCAGAATAATGTGTCCGTGTAAGGTGACATGTCTTCTTGCGGACTGTTACCTTGTGAACTAGCATATACAGCATAGACAGAAAAAATATTACATTCATTCCTTAAAACGACAGTACAACGTCTGAATAATGTTTTTCAAATAAGTAAATTTTTAACATATATATCACGTTGGATTAACATAATAATTTAATGTTAAATTACTGACCATGTTATATATAACATGATGTAACTCGTTTATAACGTTACATTAAAACCTTTTGGCACTTTGATATGTCTGCCCCCCCTCTTTTCCACCATAATATAAGATAGTTGTCCCTTTAAAAAAGTGTTTCATAAAAAAATTGCTTGCGTTATCACAAATGTAGCTTAAATATAAATAAGAAGATGTGGTATGAGTGCAAATGAGACAACTATCCATCCAAGTCACAATGTGTAAAAAGTAAACAATTGTAGGTCAAAGTACGGCCTTCAACACGGAGCCTTGGCTCACACCGAACAGCAAGCTATAACGGGCCCCAAGATGACTAGTGTAAAACAATTCAAACAGGAAAACCAACGGTCTAATCTAGCTATATAAAAAAACGAGAAACACTTATGAACCACACTAACAAACGACAACCACTGAACAACAGGCTCCTGACTTAGGACAGGTGCATAAAATGCAGCGGGTTTAAACGTTTTAAAAGGCGCCAACCTTCAACCTAACCTGAAACAGTGGTATAACACTACAACATACAAAGACACATAATAAAATATCAATTGAAATGGCTTAACTCGATCAAAAAGACAATACAAAAAAAAAACAAGTAAATACACACTGAACGAATAAGTTTGATCTATGACACAATATAAATAAAAAAAGATGTTTCAATATCAAAAAGACAACGTTAACCTAGGACAAAAAGGCGTAAAATAAAGTAACGTACACAGGTAAATTTAAATATAATAATAATTTTGTTGTAAGGAGTACAGAAACATTTTTTACAAAATAAATTTGTTATTCATAGTACGAGTACAGAAGTGAACATTTTTTCGTCATACTAAATACTTATCAAAGGTGGTACATATTAAAAATAGTAAGACGAGATATAACACAAAATAAGTAAACATTGAATAACAGAAATGCATTACAAATTGTGTCAACAAGTCAAATTAACACGAAAGTACGATTTGAGAGTACTTGCAGTTACTGAAAGCTAGTTAAAAGCCAAAAACAATTAATGATAAAAAAAAAACATGCATCAGAGACTAAAATCAATTAAAACACATCCCAGGCAGGGATTTAGTGTTTTAACGCCATGGACAGTCAAAGAAGACATGACTTGTGCAATGCCAAAATGAAAGTAACGACAGGCAGTAGGATAGTTAGGATTTAACCTTATAATAAATATGTATGATGTTATGTATAGATAAAACAATGTCTAAATAGAAAATAAACGTGGATGTGTATATATATATCCCAAAAACCATTCGAAAAGAATACAAATTTTGTATAAAAGTTATATTTTAAATTTTTGATGACAAAATCGATGTTAGTGCCAATGAAAACAATATTCAAAGATCTTATTACAACATTAATAAGATAACCTTTACTAATAAATTTGTTAAAAGGTTCGATAAGTTTACACTGATCACATAGTGATTTCCGCGTATGACCAAGTTTGCATAGTAATTGATGTCTACCATCATTTTTTATTATAGATAACAGATCAACAAGTGTAAAATTTATACGATGTTTTATACGTAGATTACAGTTTTTACGTTTACCATGAGACCTATTATTTCTTAGCCGTTTATCGACAATATTCATGACATCGATAGAAGTTTTAGATATGTTCCACTGTCCCAATATTTTGTCATTGAGACCGAGAGGTTAAGCTGTTTGAAGTCTTTTCATCCAAAATAGTTCGTGAACTTCATGAGATTTTTTAAATTGTTTGTGTGATTGTCCTGGTTGTTTCTTAACGGTTTCAAATGGTTGGAATTTTATCAATTAAAGATTGTGATTTATATGTTTATCTAAATGTTGGTATATCAAACTTTTGAATTTTTAAGGTCTTCGAAAGCGGTAAAGGTGCTCTTGATTTCTTTTGTAATATGCTCTTCCCGTATGTCCCACATATTGAATTCCACACTTAGGCTGGGTTCAAGTTACCAGATAAATAAGGTTTACGTTTTCCAGGTAATGTCACAGGAAAAGGAGAGCGAAAAAGCTCTCCCGTTCACTGTTGACCTAACAGTATTGTGTGAAGTTAATCTGAAACAGGTCAGTCATTTTCTGGCATTGCACGGAAAAATTTGTGGATATCCACGTGCATTTCTGTTTAACAATCTGGCTGCAGAGGCATTGCCTCCTTTGACACAATTGTACACAGTGCTAAATGTAGCAGGATAATTTTGATAGGCTGCTGCAGAATTTATATTAGAAATACGATTATTTAAGCACGTGGATATCCTAAGAGTAGGATTGTTTTTCAATTTCTTTCCATTTCGTAATGTCATGATTATTTAAGTAGGGGTATAGGAAAAATAAAAAAGACCGGAGGTTGTAACATTGAATTGGGATCACAATTACGGAATAAGAAATAATAGGCAAAGATGGTAAGAAATCTAGGTAAAACCATAGCAGGGGGCAATAATAAAAACAGCAAGCGTGGATGAGTATTTATACATCCCAACACCATAATATTGAATTAACACATAAAGAACAAAGATATAATAAACATGTGAAAGTTCTCTCACAGGCAAACAATCCATAATTGTAAAATATAAAGTTTACTTCTTGGTCAAAGACTAATGTTATTAGATATGTAACTTCAATGTCAGTTTTATGTAAATAGAAAACGTTATACGAAATGTTACTCTAATGTTAGTTTTATGTAAGTATATAACGGTATAAGAAATGTTACCCCAACGTGAGGTTTATGCAAATATATTATATTTTTTTTGGGGATCTTCACAGGGGATATAGGCTCATTTTCCCTGTCAGTGTTTAATACCTCCTGATCATAAGCAGACAGGCGAATGGGATATAGATTAATGACAGGGAATATGAGCCCATATCCCCGTTGAAAGCCAGTCCCACCCAAAGCCACACTACGACAAAGATTACAGAGTCCGTTCTAAGCTTTCGAGACAATCAAAAGTACTGGTATAAGCAACGTTATTTGGTAGTTAAATTAAAAGAAAGTTAGATTATTATTCGGGGACTCCGTATGGATATGCCAACGAGACCACACGAACTGCGTTCTGTTTTTCTAACACAAGCAGATGTGTTTACCTTTTGTTTAAAATTACTGATTTGTAATACTGTTTCATTTTATTTTTGGACCTCATTAAAAGAATTTGGAATTTACCAATTCGTTTATGTTTATTGGATTAGACTGGCCACTTGGATGGGAATCTAGTTCACAGTTCATTCACACCCAAGTCGGCAGTTTAATCCAATAAACATAAACGAGTTGGTAAATTCCAAATTCTTTTAAAAGAGTTAAAATTATCTAATAAAAACCCAATATCTCATATATTGGTACCGAAACATCTAACCTGATGTTACAAGCTAGTATCTTGTAGTATAATAACAGCCGACTACCGATACAAAAGCTAGTTTCCCCAGGATCAACACCCTCCCCACAGACCGGATCCCATTTAATATCGGCAATGTTTATCAAATTCATTCTTGACACTTCTATCAAATGATATGAGGAGTTATCTGTTGTATCTCATGGGAAAGAAGGGCTACTTTACCCGAAACAAATTTATAGAAATTAGAAAATAACTCCGATAAGTTTTCCCGTCTTGTCGTTCTTAACAATTTTGCTGTTTATTATTCCCCTGTCTGTATTATTGTTTCTGCAAAATATGCAAAAATGGGTATCCATATTTCAAGGACAATAACTAATATAGGGGGTCAATTGATGATTCCGGCTATGTTTAATTATTTTTAGAACTCAGAGGCGGATTTGGGGGGGGGGGGGGGGGGGGGGGGGGCAGGCGGGCCCCCCTTATGGAGCTATATGTATGTTAATGAATATATACTTTTTATAAGCATCAGTCCAAACGTCAGCTAACTATACCCCCCCCCCCCCCCCCCCTTTTTTTCAAAATCCTGGATCCGCAACTTGAACTGTATACAGTTTTTCTCTGTGTATTATAGTTTATGAAGAAACACAACATTAAAAACAAGGGATTATTATGCCCCTGTTGAGTTTCTCCTGGCAATATCTTTATTTAATGTTATATTTGAAAATGAGTGCATCTTTCACTTTTAATTAGCATTAAATGGACTTCTCCTATCCGACAGTAAAGCCATTGCTAAATTAATTAACACAAGGATGATTGTAGTCAAGTTTGGTTTTAATTGGCTCAGTAGTTAAAAAGTAGACTTTTTTTTAAATTAAAGATTCCTGGTGACATAAAAATTTAAGATAAATATTTATCAGATCAAAAAATCTTTTTATCTTTATTTATTGAAAATACATGTATAATTAGTTTAAGATAATTTGATGTTATCAGAAAATTTCAACTTAATTACAGAAATTTACAATTTATAGCCTCCTGTTTTCAAAAATAAGTACGGTCACCTTTTTTTATTTTGTAATTTGTTCCAACTTTTCTCTGAGTCTCCGTTGATAAATTCAGAAATTATTTTGAAACCAAGGTTACAACTCCACCAAGCAAAGCTGACCTTGGTCATATCACTCCCCACGTATTCAGGTATTTATTAATCATTGTCTTTCAAATGCTTGGGTTTGAGTGTTTCTGATAAAATCCATTAAAGCGCTTTAGACGCATACGATTGTTATTTTTCTACCGAAGATCATTTTCAACGTACACGTACCCAGGGACTAATACATGCATTTATATATTGGCCCCAGATGTACCATACAACCCAATCCTCTTTAAATATAACTAAGTTGACAATAAAGTGTGAAATTGTAGTACTCCCCTAAAATACATTTCAAAATTAAATGTTTGTTATCATTAAAGACACTTCTCTTATATTGGTATATGTAAATTCTATAAGCTGTATTGCTTTTGAATAAAAAGACTATTATTAGTTTAAACAATATTTTATTTTCAAAAGTGCACAAAATACAATTATAAAATATAAAATGCTGGGATTCGGAAACAAGAAGAACTTATATAAATCCGTCTCTCTTATTATTATCAATTGATATACTACGCAGATTCATGATTATTTATTTTTGGGGGATGTCGATATATATACATTGTAGATATTTTAAAATCAGTCGATTGACACATGAATATTTCAGTCCGTTTTAATAATGCACTGCGGTGTAATCGGAAAAGATTTTGTATAAGAGGATTTCTTTCAAACGGTACCAACAGAAAAAGGAAAGAGCAGTTAAGGTTTTGAAATGCGTTCATCATTTTTAACTTTGGCTGTATAAATTTGCATTTACTTCTACCTTTTGACATCATGGGATATCGAAGTACATGTACACATTCACGCCTTCTACTGACGAAGGCCATGTGTTGTGCCGAAATATTTGTTAATACAATATTATTTCATCTTATTCATATAATGTATCAGTATTATTACACAAATACGCAGACTTATAAATACATATCGGCTCAAATTATTCCCAATGGTGTTAGATCCGCATATTTGCGGTAAAAGGATTTAACCCTATGCTTGTGTGACATCGTTGCAACTCCTCCTGATCTATATCCAACCACCTAAATCATTCGGTGACCTATGCTATATAAAATATAGCATTCGTTAATCTTGTGAGGCTTTTCCTCATCGGCGTAACCTAAATAATAACACAGTGCTTGATGTATAGTGGCATGAAAAGGATGACAAATACATACCATGCAGTCACATCAATTTGTGTTTTGTAATATCCATTTAGATATGTAACATCTCTGTGACAGACTTATTAGTAAGTAACTGGCTTGAACAAATGTTTGCCTGTATGTTTGTTTGAGTATATATTCTTCTTGTTAAAGCATTCAATTACTTTGTTGGATAGAATTCACTTTTATTTTTTAATTGAATTTGAAAAAGAGGGCCTCAATATTTTATTTCATCTTTTCAGACGCTGAACTTCTAGCTTCTTTGATATAATTGAGAATAAAATGGCGATGATAACCTGTTCGTTGACCATTAAAATCAATAGGCTTCAAGTCCGCCCTATATTGAATATCCATATCAAGTTTGGTGAAGATCTGTTGGGAAACATAAGCCTTACAGTGTGCACAAGTGTGGTATGGACGAACTGACAGTCCGTCCCGTTACAATATCTCCTCCGCATCTTTGTCGCGAAGATATATTAACGTGTAGAGACATGATATATAAGGGCATCCAAAAACAAGTTTATCGCTTTTGGCTGGCAGCGCAGTCATCCATGGAAGACTCGCACATTTAAATATTTATAACCATATAATTGTAGAAAAAAACTGATTCGGATGTGAATTCATTGCACTATTTTTTTCATTTGAATGTTTATACAATTGAACGTGAAATGTCGTATAAAGACAAGTATTGAGTATAAAATGAGAGAGAGGGGGAAAAAACAAGAAAAAATGTAAGTAGTTATTTGCTCGATATATCAGGGTTGGTTTTTTTAGAATAGTTTAATACCGTTAAAATAAAATGTACATGTAATGTTATTTTTTAATGATTTTATCTTTGAAACGATCGCTCTATTTCACCTGTGAACTGTAGGTGTCATAAGTCGGTGTTGAGATATGCAATTGAGACTCTACGAAAAACATTCTCCATACGAATAACCAAGGATTATACACGGTTAACATGGTTAACACTACAAATAACATATATTCTAAATAACATATATTTTAAATAACATATATTTTAGCGTGTATGTATAACGTACCTTGAGTTAAGGGTTAAACAAGTGTCCTTATCATAACTTGTCCTTGGTGCAAGGTTTTATAAATACAACTTTATATTTCCTTTTTTATGAAACTAATTAAAGATTTATCAATCGAAAACGAAAGTGTATATACACAAATCACATATAAATTAATTCATGTAAATAAAATAATTTTATAAAATACATACAGTATGCACCTTACGGGGGTACTTTCAACGATGAATACAGCATTATCATTTGATTTACATATTTTTGAATGATTATACTTACACGTAAAATGTAGTAATTGCTCCCTAGTTACAAACTATGCAAAGCTTTGTAAACATATTTACTGAACATATTACTTCCCTGTTGTATGACATTTAAAATGCTCCGGTTGGATTGATTTAAATACTGTCTATCGTTCATCTATGCTATATACACGTACGGCCATTTTCGATAGCTAATCAATACCGATACATATACCAACACCAAGAGCGACTACAGTGTCTCGGATTTTAATCAAAGTAGATGTATTTCTTATTCTCAGTCTATACAAAAACTTTTATTATTTACTATGGAACGCCATGACTGCCTTATGTTGGTGACCACCATTAATAGTCTAGTCAATTTAGTGAACAACCTGCAACTAATTGCAACACAAAGTGTTTCTCTGAAAAACAAGTCTGTTACTATCTATAAACAACATACTAAAACTATACAAAAATATATTTTGCGGAAAGTGGTGTAATTTATAAAAATGTTTTGCAGTAAAAGTAAGGTTATATGAGTTCCTTCCCCTTATTTGCCAAAGTTGAAAAAAATAAAATTAAACAAAAAATGTTCTGTATTTTCTAAAACAGTTGAAATAATACAATACAATACATAATTTTTTCAATTTAAAATAATAATATTACAAATGAATCACTTTCCTGTCTCAAAATTTGTATATTTGAATAAAGATATAGACCGAGACTGTGTTCTGCTATTTTATAATCCAAGAATCTAGTTCTCCAAAATATTGTTGGTTAGTAACCTATAAATGGAAAATTGTAATGAATTAGAGTAATCAACTTAGTCACATTCCTACTTGGTATTTGAAAGAATTCTGCCCCTGTGTTAAAGGCACAGAGAGTTTATTTTTTGTTGGGGGAGGGGTTCCAGAAACACATCATGTTTTGTTCTTTATAAAAAAAAATGTTATTGCAAGATTCAAAGTCTTTAATGTATTTTTTCTCCACAACTTTAGAAAGAAAACAATATATTTTTTTCATTTACCTTCTGGAACAAACATGTTAAGATTTAGAATCCAAAAATGTTTCTTTAAAAAATAAGAATGATGAGTGTTAAATGATTTTTTGTTAAATATTTTTTCACAAATGAAAATTTCAGGCTCCTCGAAGCAAATAGCTACTCATGTAATTTGCGACGATCTCAGTACTCACACACATATAAATAAAGCTTTGACTGTAACACTGAATCCACTTTTCACTTTGGTTACTAATCGGATGTGTACTTATTTATATTTTAGTCAGTGCCAACAGTATTTATTCATCAACTGTAATTACTAAGCTTTGAACTAGCTATGAGAACTCAGTGTCTTTTTATTTATTGGTTCTATACTCCGTGCTGATCTTTTTGAGTTGAGCCCTCTTTCCAACTGGGTTTTACAATTTGTTCTTACGTTGTTTGCTATTTAAATAAAATTAAGAATGGAAATGGGGAATACTGTATGTCAAAGAGACAACAACCCGACCAGATCAAGAGCAGATAACAGCCGAAGGCCACCAATGGGTCTTCAACACAACGAGAAAATCCCGCACCAGGAGGTGGTTCTCAGCCGGCTCCTAAATAAAAACTGTTCCTGATTATTGGAGGGTTGAGTGCTCGCAAACAGGGTTAACCCTGCACACTATGAATATGATTATCACAAGTCAGTGGCCCTTTATTACTTGGTTGTTATTGTTTGTTGTCTGTCATATTTATTTTTCCGTTTATTGTTTTAACATTAATCAGGCCTTTGAGTTTCTCGTTTGACTTGTTTTATATTTTGACAATGAACTACAGTTTACATCCACACCCGCATCATTGATATATCTTGTGGAAAGTTTTCTCATTGGCAATCATACAACATCTTCTTATGTTTTTAAAGTGGGGAGATTTTATAATAAGTGATGGTTTCATTGGCAAGCGATCAAACTTACTACCAAGAGATCACTTATAGAGTTTAGTGGACCTTAAAAGCTAAACATTTATATTCTTTTGGCATGAGGTGTATTTTTTAAAATATTTTTATAGTTTCGTTCAAATGAGTTGAAGACAGGTCAGCATTCCGGAAGCAGAAAACAGCGTCTTTAACATTGATATATCTGTAATAGAGTATATTTATGAATTAAGAGATTTGAGGTTTTTAAAGTCAATAAGAAAGCAACCCAAACGATTAACAAAAACCAACAGACATACTTTCAGATTAGACATGACTATCTAAACGATATCTCTGGCCATCAAAGTCGCCCACAGACACTACAAATTTTAATTCATACACAGATGATGCATGATCATTTTTACAGTTCTTATGCTAAAGCTGATTACCTTTTATTAAATTAATTCAATGAGATATATTAAATAAAGAACTTGGTAATGCTTTTCTTTATATACTAGTAAGTATATATATATATCTTTAACCATATTATTTTCATATAGCAGACAACCCATGTTAGTTCTTTGTCATTACCATTTGGTTGATGTTTCAGACCACCACACACATGCAGGTTTATATGGTACACACATAAGGCGCTGTTGCTATTAACACTTCCTCCAGGAAGTGATCCCATTACTTCATTCAACAGTGCTTATCTCATTTTCAACATCCAAAATTGGACCACGTTAGTACATTTACTATTTAAATTCAAGCTCTTGAGGTAAAGTTATAATCGTATTGACAAAGCTGCTCTTGATATTGCCTTAAACAATATCAGATCTACATTTAATTTTCGATCTATGAGTTTGACTGTCCCTCTGGTATCTTTTGCCCCTCTTTTAATGCTAATCGTCTGTGTTTAACTGTGACTTTATGCAATTCAAATATTGTAAAAGTAGCTAATGAAAAAATACACAAAAAGGACTACAGTCAATGACGATGCAAGTACACTAGAAAAAATGATTTTTCCAGCTATTAACATGACAAAATCAAAGTCAGTATTCAAACTGATTTAGAGCTATTTTTGAACACAATCATTTTTTGTTTATTATACCTACACGTATAAATACTATAAATACATAACCGAAACATAAGATAAAATTTCAAACTTCCACAAAATGCACATATTCAAAACTGAGTTTTACTGTGTGTTTATTTATTCTAAATTGTCTAGAGAAACTAGGGGAGGGTTGAGTTCTCGCACAACATGTTTTACCCCTGCCACATTATTGCACCTCTCACAAGTCAGGAACCTCTATCCTTTGTTTGTCTTGTATGTGTTTTTAATTTGGTGATAATTTTGGTTCATTTGTATGTACTGGAGTTTAGGGTGGTGTTCATTTTACTGAACTAGTGTACAAAATAATTAAGGGGTCAGATGAAGCCCACCTCCGTGTGCCGGATTTACTTGCTATGTTAAAGACCCATTAGTGGCCTTGTTTTCTCTTTGACACATTCCCTGTTTCCATTCTCCATTTTTTCGTTTTTGAAAATCAAACTAGAAATAACCAAGCTTCAGATTAAAGTTTTTTGTTAAAGTTTTTGGTCAAGGCATTTTTTGATGAAGTTGAAGTCCAATCATATTGAAACTTAGTACAAATGTTCCCTATGATAAGATTTTTCTAAATTTAATGCCAAATTAGAGTTTTGACCCAATTGCACAGGCCACTGAGCATAGAAAATGATAGTGCGGGTGGGGCATCCGTGTACTATGGATATATTGTTGTTTTGTAGTTAGTGTGTAAAACAAAATATTTCACATAACAAATTGATTATTATTGATATCGATAACAAGAGGAATACATATGCGATAATAAGATAATATAGTCTGTATATAAAGATCCTATGTTAAAAGTTTGAACCATGAATAATCGAGTTTTTTATTTCCATTTTTCACAATTTTTCTCTACAAATCACATTTTACACAAGAATTACAATTTTTTAAATACTAATAACTAAAGGAATTCTTAAGATAAACATCAGATAGTATTCTCTATTTTCTGTTAATATCCCAATTTGAAAGTTTTAACCATCAATAACCGAGATATTTTCATTTCAAGTTTTCCGGGTTTTCGGTCTTAAAACATACATTCCACCAAAATTACCCAAATATTAATATTGATTACTAAAGGACTTCACAAATAAAACATAAAATAGTATGTTCTTTTTTCTATATAGATCAAATTTCAAAAATATTAACCATTAACAACGGAGATTTTCTACGTTTCCAGTTTTCAGCGTTTTTTCACTAAAAATCACTCATTTCACCTCAAAATTACTTCAATATGAATAATAATAACTAAAGGACCACATAATACTCTATTAAGATAAGGTTACCTGTCTTCAACAAGCTTTAGGTCTAAAAATGTAACCATAAATAACAATTTTTCTTCTTTTCCAGTTTTCAGCATTTTTTCTCTAAAAACCACATATTTCACCCCAAAATAACCTTTTCCGCAAATTATATCGATGTATAGTTTTAGTATGTTGTTAGTACAAGTCTATATTATAATTTGCACTCAAAAAACCTTGTGTTGCAATTAGTTGCAGGTTGAGCGATTTTAGAGCTAAATTGACTAGGCTATAAATTCAGTGGTGACAACATTATATGCAGTGGTGACAACATTAATATATGCAGCTGTGACAGGATTATATGCAGTGGTCACAACATTATATGCAGTGGTCACAACATTATATGCAGTTGTCGGAATATTTTATGCAGTCGTCACGACATTATGCAGAGGTAACAACATTATATGCACAATGATGCAGTGGTCACAAAATTATACGTGTTTTGTTGATGAAGGTGATGATCAGTGAAAGTGATGTAAATTTTATCGGACATTGAAGAAAATCCGGTCATAATTTACGGAAGCCGGTACGTGCCATGGAGAATTTTTTTTTTATTATTATTTTAACTCGTTATAACGACATAGTTAGCTCGTTACAACGACTTAGTAACTCGATCGTTATAACAACTTAGCTAACTCGTTTTAACGGCTTACATAACTCGCTATAACGACTTAGCTAACTCGTTTTAACGTCTGATCTTACTCGTTATAACGCATTAGCTAACTCGTAATAACAACTTAGTTAACTCGTTGTAAAGACTTAGTAAACTATAAAATGCTGATCTCCAAAACGAGCATATTATATTTTGTCGTCAATATTAATGAATTATGAATTAATTATAAAACTTAAATATTTCATACCCCATGTTAATAATACATCGGTTGTAAATTATTTGA